CCCCCCCCCCCCCCCCCCCCCCCCCCCCCCCCCCCCCCCCCCCCCCCCCCCCCCCCCCCGAGAGAAAAGCAAACACACAAGATTTACAAACTAAATGATGGATACGATATAGGAAAGTAGAGTTCTTGATCAGCTATTTCGCATTGTGATGATGGCGGTGGTGATGGCTGAAAATGTTCAACATGTGTATACGGTGTTGGAAGTGGATATTGTCCATAGAATGGCTGCTGATAACAATTCGTCATAGTATAAGGTGGTGGAGGTGGCGGTTGAGAATGTGAATTATTATTGAGAAGTTGTGCTGTTTGAGGATAATGATGCATATAATTTGTTTTCTTTTTTACAATTTGTTTTTTTCGTATTGGCTCTTTCTTAACATTTGTTGATTCAAGATCTAGAAAATGCAAAAATTAACATATGAAGATTAATAAACGAAAGAAAAACGTAATATACACATACGACAATTCGGTGGACATTCATTTTTTAACCATTGAATAAAATGTTTTTCAGCATCTGATTTTGGTTGAATACTATTTAATACTTCATCACTATCGGGACCAAAACGAAAGGGCCCAGCACCAATTTGTTTCATTGCTATCGATTTCGGTGTATAACCATCTTCGTTTGCTATTTGACTTTTAGCACCATGACGTATTAGAACTTCCCACGTAGCAAATGCTAGATTATACGCTGCTTTATACAAAGGTGTTTCAAGCTAAATAGAATAATTAATCATTATTGATTAAATTAAACATCAAAATCAACTACATACATGTTCATCTTGTGCTTCAATATTAGCTGTATGTTTTAATAACAATAAAGCTCCATTCATATTATTTGTAATAGCCGAATAATGTAGAGCTGTACGACCTAGAAAAATAATCCTTCTATTATTCCATGTCTATCTCTCATTCAACTCCAATTATTTTACCTATGCGTGTTTCATTGCCGCCGACTGATGCATCACAACGATCAGTTGCATCGACATCAGCACCTGCTACTAACAAACATTCAGCTATATCATTGTAATGTGCTCGTATAGCTTTTCGTAATGGATTATCACCAGGTAATTCTTCGTTATCTCTTTCATAAGTATAAGTGCTTGCGTTGATGTCTAACTTTAATATATTTGCATTCGTTAATAAAAATTGTACAACATCTAATGCTTTAGCTGATACAGCACGTAATAACGGTGTAGCACCATAGATGTCTCTTGCATTTGGATCACAGCCATGTGCGATTAAAACACGAACGGCTGTTAAACGTCGACGCCGACACGCTAAATGTAATAGAGTTTCTTGATTCGAACCCGAACGACTATGAATATCGGCTCCATTATTGATATAGAAATTTAAATTTGTTTCTTCGTCCGCTTCATATTTTCCAAATGGATCACGACGTGAAATTTCCAATTCTAATATATTAATATCACCGTTTGGACCACCTGGAATATTCAATGTATTGCTTGACATTGTTTCACAATCAGGTGATAAAGATTGATGATCTAGTTTTTGTTTTTTATTATTTGATATGTCAAAATTTGTATTTTTTGTTTTTATACGATTTATCCATGAAGTTTCACGTTTATTTTCATCGATTAATGTAGTTGGAAACCAAACTGGAGCTTTTATTAAACGCTTTGGACGTTGCATTAAGCCGTAGCCAACAAGTAGTGTTAAAATAAGGACGCATGGAATTATAGTAACTAAATAAATATATTTCGATTTATCTTTGACGGGTTGAGCACTATCCGGAAGAATATTAATATCCGATATTGGCATTTGTAAACGTTCAGCTAATTCACCGTTTTGCTGCAAAGCTCCAAGATAATCTACAGATTGACGAACACTATCGAATTGACAATTTGAAGAGTTCGATGAATTACAAGTTTTCAATATTGTGATGTAAATTTTAATACTGAACAAAATAAAAATATTGTTTTTTTTTACATATTCTACGTTAAAACATACCCAATCGGTTTTGTTTTATCATTTCCATCTTTGTACCAAGGTAGGATTAATTCACTACCATCTTTATTCGATGAAATTTTCACTGGACTATTTAATATTGAACCTAAGATAGAAATAGAAATTAGAATATAGATCGAGATTGATGTTTTTTTCTCTTACTAAATCTTTGAAGAAATGATTCTTTTCGTTTATCAAATGTTTCTTTAGTTATTTCAAGTTGTAAAACAATCGTTCCCAATAAACCATCATTATATGTTGGTACACAATCATCACGATCATAATCACAACCGATTTTATTACATTCATGATTACATATACCATTCAAAACTTGCGATTGACAATAACTTATACTAAAGCAAAAGACAAAAAAAATTTCATTAGAAAAAAATAACCATTAATTACGAATTATTTAACGTACTTGCATGTTGATAATTGTCGATCGCAATCAAATCCATCTAATAGACATTCTTTAATATTGCATTTTTCATCACATTGACCATTACGAAATAAACGCCAACAATCATTTATTGGACATAAATCCCATGGATCACGTTTTAAGGTACATTCATAATTATCGAACTGACATTGAGCAAAATTACATTCATGATCACATCGATTATTATTTCGTTTTGATGAACAATTATTTATCTGGCATGTATCCATTGTTGCTTGACTATGGCGTGTATTGACAACAAGAAGTTCACAATGGTGACCGTAGAAGTTAGCTGGACATTGACAAAATGAAATACCTAGGAAAAGCACAAACTATTTTTTCCACACAAAAAAAAAGAAGTACAATTTTTCTATTTACCATTATCTTTTCGAGAACAAACACCACCATTTAGACATGTCGATTCACTACATTGAATATTATGACAATTTTTATTTGTCATGCCGGGTGGACATAAACATAGATATGAACCTGGAGTATTCTACAATAGATAATTACAATCGATTGCATAATTAATTTTCAAAAAAACAAAAAACTATAATTGAAAACACTTATCATACTTTCGTCACCTATTTGTTAAATTGTTCATTTACATATTAGTTAACAAACTCTTTCTTTATTCGCTGTCTCTTTCTCACAGGCAATAATCAATACGATTGCAATACTTACATAACACGTTCCTTGATTTACACATGGATTCATTTTACATTCATCAATATCATCTGCACAAAAATCCCCTTTCCATCCAGGAAAACAGCTACATTTTCCATCTTGACATGTACCATACACACATTGATTTGTATTATTGAATAGGGTTGAACAAGATAAATTCTTAATCTTAGCTTTATCACATTGATCATCCGACGGACAATAACATCGATAACCATGCGGTGAATTTTCACATGTTGCATTCGATAAACATGGTGATGATGCACAATAATCTTTGATATAAATTTGACATAAACGACCCGAATAATTTGTTGGACAAACACAACGAAACTTATCATTATGATAGCCTGTACGAATACAAGTGCCTTGATTTTCACATGGATTATGATAGCATGGATCGATTGGAATTTCACAAAAACGTCCTTCGTATCCTGAATAAAAGATAAAAGCATAGCTATTTAATTATGTACGCAACAAAATCTTTTATTGCCGATAGACAAAAACAAAACAGGATATCGCAAAGACTTGATAGAAAAAGAAAACAAAACATACGGTGGGAATAAACTGTGAGATTACGATCTCATCACAGACATGTGCATCTTCTTTGATGTACCGGCAGCTTTAAACCGGCGACACGCACACCGCTGATATAAACGATGCTCTTTTTGTTTTCAATCAAATAAAGACGTGTGAGATATTGATCTCCATCTATCTATTTTACGTTTGACGACATTCTTTTATCGAACAAATAATTATGGGAAGAAAATCGAATGTTTTTTAGTTCGTTTTCGTCCGAGTGTGTTAATGGAACGCGTGCCTATTTGTTCCACTTCATTTCAGAATTCTCAAATATCATTTGAATTATTTGTTTCGCTCTCATCTAAAGGTACTTATTGATTTCAAGTATAACAACAAATGTACATATACATCTCTTTTATATACGTGCATTCAATTCAATAGAGAATTGCAAATCATTCATCCGATTGTGTGTGAGAAAAAAAAATAGTGAAGGAAAACGTTTGTCAAGTGTAATGAAACCTTAACATATTTTATGTACATTCTTTTGTCTAGATGTGAATTGAGGACATCCGGATGTGCACATCTTATCGATAATGAAAATTTCAAAACAAAAATGTCTTACCTTCTGGACATGAACAGATAAATTCGCCAAGACCATCAATACATAAACCACCATGACGACATGGTGAACTTGAACATTCATCGATATTGACTTGGCACCGATCACCAGAAAATGCTTTTGAACATAAACAGGATTCACGTTTATCTTCGGAGTTAATTATACATGTGCCATTATTTAAACATTTATTTTGGCAAAGATTTGATATATGAAAACAAGAGTTAAAAGCTAAAAGAAAGAAGATTTATCAGAGAATATTGTTTGTTTTTTTTCAAGTTTAAAGTCTTACGAAATAAAATTAAAGTGGCAATAAGCACCAACCACATGATAATGATGATTGTCGTTTCTTTTTTTTTATAAACAGCAGACGTTACAGACAACGTGAAATGAGCCTAATTTTTAACAGCTTTCAATTTATATATATACATACATATAAATGACGGGTCGATTTTCTCTCTGTCTTTCTGCCTCTCTCTCTCTCTCTCTCTCACCTATTATTGGTTGACCATATGAAATTAGTCTGTACGTACATCCATCGTATTCATCCTCTATAGTTTACGTTTTTCATTCTTTTTCTCTTTTTCGTCGTCATCGTCGTGTGAAAATAAAAAAGCAAAAGAGAAGAAGTCATGAGTGATCATTTGAACGTACGACGACGATGAATGATCGAAAATGGAATGTCCATAAAAATAGATTCAACCGTATCGATTACTCAATCGATATAAGACCATTTAGAAAGAACCGCCTTAGGGTTTAACTCATTCAATCATCAACTTCGCGTTATGTTAGCTAAATCGATAACCATGTTGTTCGTGTCAATTGATCCGTATGACTAAGCATAGCAAAAGCTATTATTCTGTTAGAATTTTATCAATTGGTTATGCAGTTCAATAGAAATAAATATTTTGACAAAACATCTATAAATAATAAATCTCTTTTTTGTTGTTAACCATGACCGTTTTTCAATTCAACAACTGTTTGTAAATACGAAAACTACCGGAAAATTATTTAGACTAGACAAATGAACAATAATGTCTGTTAATCAACAAGGTGATAAAGATCACAGGAAAATGTGTTCAAAATGGTTACGCATTTTGTTTTTCTTTTCGTATTGAGCATAAAACTTAATGAACTAATTTTCCTGTCGAGTAGTATTCATTATGAACGACAAATAATCTCATGTGTTACACATCAATAAATGTTAATGACTGATTCCGATAGCGTTAAAAATGACCAATGATCGGACACGGGAATATCGTCAAACAGCAATAATATCATAAATATTTATAATAAAACAATTAATTTGTTTTTTGGCTTTTTTTCTTTATAATAAAAATATCATCTACATTTGCATAAAGAGATTTTTTTAATGAAAAGAATTCATTCATAACAAATTGGTTTACAGTCAATATTCATTAATGCAACAATACGTTTAGAATGAGAGAGGGCAAAGAAAATGATGTTTCATTTCTCATTGTAGCTATTCGATCATTCGTGATGAATTCATAAGATAAGAAATTACTCTCTCGTAATATATTGTACTTAGATGAGTACGCGATAATGGATATCAAGAATGGGGGGGATTAAAAAAAATAAATCATGAACACTATGCTAAGAAGTTATTTTCATTTATCAATATATTCTTTAGCCAAATGTAGAACACACTTCATATATTGATGCATAACAAACACTTGAATATGAATCGTTTCGAGTTTATTTTAATACGATGAACAATAGAATTGATGGGTGTACTGTCGATGGTGTCTTATAGACTAGTAAAAAAATGCATGACTCATTAATATTGCCCTTGAAAACAACAACAACAACAGCAAAAGCAACCTAGAGAACAAAATCCAGCAGACTGAAAATAGAATAAAATGCGACGCGAACATTACATGTGCATTTCTTTCAGAGATTGTGCAATTACAAAAAAGAACGTGAGAAAAAGCTTTGAGCTGTGTTTTCGTCGTTGTTTTGTCTCATTCAAACACCTCCGTATTGTCTGACTAGCAGTGGTGTAGGATTCTTAAATACACACAAACACACGCAGAACAGCAGGAAAAAAATAGCAGCCATTTACTTGGTCTTTGTTTTATATACGAACAATGACTGATCAATATCCATCAACATTTATACAAGAATATCCAACAAAAATTGCCTTTCTAATCGATTGTGCCAATGGATTAAATAGTGTTGCTTTAACTTCACGATTTATGAACGATTTTCCATTGAATAGTGATGTATTTTTATTTTATCCAAATAATGAACCTGGCATGAATCATCGTTTACAACGTATAGAAGCAAATAATCATGGTGTTTTCTTTTTCCCCACATCGGAAAATGGCATCGCAGTTAATATATCATTTTTACTTGGTCAAATAAACAAAGTCTATAATGATTTTATTCTTATTGTCGATCATCATCCAGCCTATGAAGATATATGTCAAGCGTTAGTTCAAAGTAATGATGAGTTAAGAAATCATATTCAAGTACGATCATTTGAACGTGTCAATGAGTTCGAACAATTTTTAAAAGAAATGGCACGATTACAAAATGAAAATGAACATAAAAAACTTAAAGGAAATCACAAAGTTGTTGTTAATTATTCGAAAAAACATCTGTTTCATTGTTGTCCATTTGAAACAAAATCAGATTCATCGATTTTATATCGTTTTGGAGAATTTCTTCATCATCTGGATACTGAACATACCAATGTTTATTATGAATATTGTACAGAATGTCAACAATTAGTAGACAATCAAAATCTAGACGACCTAGTTGCATTCGAAGAACATATCAAAGATCAACATTGGGAAAATAGCGGTTTTCATGTAACTATTCGAACAAAAACATAAGAATAAAACTTAGTTTTTTTTTCTCAATGATTTTTTTTCTGAAAAAATTAAAAATAAATTCATATTGCTCTATGCTAAAATTATAATTTCCATAGAAATAACATGTAAATGCAACCTCGTTGAAAATAGTTGTGTAGACTGTTATCAATGTAATATTATCGATCGTTAAAAAGTTTCATCGTAGAATTTTCAAACACTAGTAATCATAAATTTTATTTAGAAAAAAACAACAACATAACAATCAATGCCAAATTACACTTCACTATGGATTTGAGCCAATGTAGCTTTACCAGCTACTTTATGAATACAAGCTTTTTTTCCTTGTAAAGCTAAAACAATATATGACCAAAGTTGTACACAACTTAATGCAATCATTGTGAATGGCGTTAAAATCCAATGAAGAATGTTTCGCAGTATAAATATATCTTCTTTGACATTCAACGTCCATCGGCACCAAATAGCATCCAAAATAAATAAAATACCATAAAGTAATTGTGGTATAATAATGCCAAGCAAAATTTGTAAATGAAACGGTTCAAATGGTTTTGGTAACCAATGTAGTTCTAATTTTGGACAGAGCAATGGGAAAAAACCTGATGATACACTAAAAAGACTTGCACTACACAATATGACACCATAATAAAGAAAATAACCAAGAGCAAATATGCATGAAGCCATGATTGGTAAACGTGGAATTTTCACGACAAAATAATGAAAATTATCCGCAGTACCTAAAAGTGTAATAATATTGAAAAAAGAACACGAGAGAAAAACCAATATTCATACCAATGCCCCATCGCCGCACTTGAATATACCATTCTTTAGCATCATTCAACCATGTATCACCGGATGTTGGTCCCGATCGAACAGGAACAGGTACAAGACGTATACGTATACGTCGTTGTGTTCCAATCATCATTGTTAAAAGATAACCAACATCGTCCATAAATATTTGCGGATGCCAATAACCACCACGTACAGCAAGTGTTAGCGAAAATGAAAAACATGACATCGGGTTTACATTATATGGAATAAGTAAACCCATAGTCATTAACGACCGCACAAGACCAGTTATACGAACAGGAAATGAATTTTGATCTAAATTCCAATTATAGAAAAGTGGTGCTTGCCATATTGTGCGATGTACACTGGGATCGTTATTTTTAATGCATTGTAAATAATCAGCGGTTAACGCTTCGAAATATTTCGCATGAAACAATGTATCAGCATCACATGTTGTTACCATAACATGATTAATGTTTTTCTTTTTATCCTCATCTGCCATCAAATAACGAACTGCTTCTCGTAAGCCCCAATTCGCATTAGCGGCTTTAGATGCGATTTCATTTTCAAGACCGTACGGGTGAACAGGAAAAATAATAGAATAAAATTTATCTGCGTAACGTTTTTGTATAAGTTCTGTACGTTCGTCTCTTTCTGGTGTTCGTGATTCCCATGCCATAACTAATAGAATACGTTTAGCTTCCGTTTGTTCGGCAAGTGAATCAATTGTACGGCAAACAACACCCATATCATCTTTATATATTGTTAATATAATCAGATGAATTAAAGGTGTATCAGCAGGATAGGTTATTTTATGATCAGTTACCATTCCGTATTTTAATTTTATCAGTGTATGTATAGAAAATATTAATGCCAAAAACCAAACGAGATCTAACCAAAACAATACTGACAATATAACATAATATGTACCCGGACATGATTGAGATGCAAAACGAAGCCATATAGGTAATGTAATAAAACATAAAATAATGAATAGCCAAAGAAGATTCCAACGTAATAATGAAAAATTTAATGGTTTCAAACGTTTCAAACGTTGGGCATGTCGAACAATTATGGAACTTGATAATTCTCCATCATCGGATGGCAATGATTCAGCTAGGGACGCAGTTCGTGGTATCTCTTCAGCAGTCATTTTGATTCAAATGTCCTTATCATGTCTCTACCTGAGTTAAATAGCATCGTCGTATAATGTCGTTTTGCCATGTCACGTCTCATCATCATGAGAAAGTTGTGAGATACAAGAGAAATTATTTTCCAAAGAGAAAAATTCGACTTCTTCAACGTGATAGTACGTCTATTTTTTACAAAATTTTCACAAAATTTTCAAGTATTTATTCAGTTTGACTAATATTATTTCAATAGGTAAAAAGAAAACAATAATAGAAGACATATTATAATCATATGTGAAAGATGCAACTACTGGTTTCAATTAGAAAAAAAAACTAATCTTCATTTCGCCCATAATCGAATATACGTATATCTGATTTAACATAATGATTCATGACATGTATGTGCTAATTCTTAATAGACAACAGAAGAAAAAAAAACAAGAACAGAAATAGAATTATAAATTATTTACGAAATTTTAAATTCGGTAATTACCATTTCGAAACTTATCTAGTTGTGATGACAGATGAGGATTACGGGCCAGTGACAGTTGAACATTTAGTTGAGTATTTTCTACCTATTTAAAAATCAAACGCTAACGAATTATTGCATTCTGTTATCTTACTTCTAAGGCATCGAAAGCAGAATGCAATCTTTTAACATCGGTTTTCAATTGACCAAGAATTTTCGATTGATGTTTTCTATTTAATAATTCTTGTTCAAGTTCAATTATTCTCGTTTGTAATACTTCACAACGATTAGATTCTCGTTCATATTTCGTCTGAAGAAGAAAATTGTTTTGTTTAATCATCATAGAAATTACCATCAAATTACGTTACCTTCCATTGAGATTCTTGTTGTTCAGCTTGTTTTAAACGTTGTTCAAGTTCATTAATTCTGGTTTGTTTACTATTTAGAACTTGAACAAGTTCGCTTGTGACAAGATTTTGATCATCATGTATTATTAGTTTCTTTTTCAATATTAGATCAACACCATCACGTGTTGGAATCATATCTTGCTGTGAATTTTTTATATCAGCTTTTGAGAGATAATTATCGTGCATAACGGCATCCATTTGTGTACGAAGAACATCAACCTAGAACAATTAAAATAGTTTTTTAAATTTGATACGACTTCGTTTCTTTTTGTATACTTTTCGTCGCATCCGTCGATAACGAAAACTTGCGTTTGGATCTGCGGCTAGAACTCGACTATTGGCAGATTTACTTCGTGGTTGAGCTTGTTTTTCTTTTGAATATTCATCTGATAGTTCACTAAGTTTTCTTCGTAGACGAACGACAGCTGATTCGTTCTCCATTAATACATTATATCAACTCATGTAATATACAAATAATAGAACAGAAGGTTACATACATAGATATTTTTCGATCGATATTTTTGGAATATATTTAAATATCAACCAATCAATGCATGTTAATATAGCATATGCGACTGGTGACCTCTTTCTATTGCTTAGCTTTGAATGAATCGCAAAGTCTCACTCATATTTGAATGTGATCTGGCTTCATCAATCATAACAATAGTGGACAAAGCCTTTTCAGTAATTATTCTTCGTGAGATCAATCAGAATCCAGTATCAGATGGGTGTAACAAAAGAGATATTATTTATTTTCTTCTACAGATTAGCACACAATGAACGTGATTCATTATTACTGCAATACTACTTGATTAAATGAGTTTTCATTTTCATTCTTGAATCAACTCATGCGACTATCTTAGATCTCGAACGATTATTATACTAATTTATTAATTACTTTCGCCCGATAAATTTGCACAATTGACAACGAATTTCAAGCAAAAGTGTCAAAGTAAGAAACAATCAGTAATGATCCACTCTGATTGATAACGAATGACAAATCGAAAACTGTGATTGATTCGTTCGTCAACTAGAAACTATTTGAGGCGATATCGAACGGTATCTCGATAAGAAAAAAAAATACATAATTAACAATCCAACGGTAAATTGAGAAGACGATTTTTATATTTGATGGATATTCAATTTCTCAAATAACATCATAAATGACAATTTGAGTTTTATGTTTCATTTAATTGATTGTAATTATGAGCAAATAGAAAGAAACAAAGAAATTCTTTTGAAATAAAAATTGATTTGAATTCCTCTAGCTGTCGCTCTACTGATAACACTGAAGATGGTGTTCTCCTCATAAAAAGTATTTCACTATGTAATAATTACTATTACAACATCGGGAATAGTTTTTTTACGGAGCACATCAGCTAGAATAATACGAAATTGTTTTTTTTCTATCTTGACAACACAAATAAATCATTCATTCATCAATTTCGTATTCAATATGTAAAGGAAATATAATTTATAAGATAACTATTAAGATGAAACAATTGTTGTTAAAGGAAATCGTTTTGCTTCTCAATGAAACAAATGTTGGATATTATCCAGTTATTATCACTATCGAGCAATTTATCGTTCACAAGCCATTTCATTGTCGAACGAACGAACAAATTCAATTACAATTAAACGATTACTGGTTTTATAATTGAAGTTGATATTCCTGCATTGGATGGTGGAAGGTTTTGTGATGAATTTTCATTAGATGCATTGTTATTTGGTGAAGTATTTGATAGGTCAATTAATGGAAAATGAACAGATCGTGGATCTGTTGGAGATTTTAATGGGGTTATTGTTTGTTGAGAAAATTTTCCACTATCAAGTAGAATACCACTATCAGATATCTGAACTCATAGAATAGAAAAGCAAAGCTTAACACGCAAACTAATTTCAATTTTTACATACAGATGGAAGACTTTCAAGTGAGGATTTCATTAAAAGTATATCAACTGGATCAGCTAATCTGTAAAAAATCTATTAGTGTTACAAGGAAAATAATCGATTTTTTTGTGATTACCTTGATGATGATGATGCTACGGAATTGTTGTCTGTTGAAAAAGAAGGCACTAGAATGAAAAACACACCAATCGGCAACAGAACTTTAGCTTTTGTTGAAATACAAGTGAGAAAAATCAAAAGTACTAATAAGTTACTTCTCTATAGACCACATCTATTATTAGAATTCATAGAAAAATTTATTTACCTGTAAGTTCGTTGAAACTTGATGCTGAAGTAATATTTTGAGTAGTAACGAGTCGTAACATATTTGAACCATCTTCACTATATGTTTCACTGTCACTAGCAAATGCTTCTGTACTCCAACAATCAGATTGCTGATCAATGGGTTTATTCATATTATTTAATGTCTTTTGAGAACAAAAGAAAAGTAAAAAAAGAAATGTTTTCTTTTGCAGAGAAGATCCCGATATCGATTCTGATAAAAGTACGTCAGGTATCAAAATCAAAAAAATCAGTGATTTCGTTCAGATTTAGTGTAAGTGTTTATTAATAATCGTACCTCGAATAATATGTGAAAGTTTAGACGTGGACTTCATCTATTCTTTACTTACTAAGTAATTTAACGATAGAGCAATTATTTCTCTTAGAGTTAAACGAATAGTTTTCAATTTGCTGAAGATATTTAGTCCTTTTTAAAATTTTATCTTACAAGTGAACCAGAGAATAGAAAATAGAATGTGTACAATTGTTGAAGAAAGTAAAAAACAGTTTATGTAAACTAAGAAATCGTATTATAAAGTTAATTGATGTTTTTCAGTTGTTCGAAGAAGACACTGATAGTGCAGTAAAATTTCTTGATATTTTTCCGCTAAATAGACTTTTTTCGTTTGTGCAGTTGACAGATGAAGAGGAGGCAATTGATGAAACTATGCAAATAAAATTAGCTTTAACGAAGTTGAAAGAAATATTTTATTTGTAATGATACAAAAAGACGTCGTTTAACAATTAAACGAAACTGTTTCATTTGCTCTTTATCGTCGCCATTAATTGATTGAAGAAGACATATTTCATGAACACGTCGTGTTTGTTGCTGAAATGTATTCATTTGAATAAAGTTAAATGAAATAAAGAAAATAGTATACCTTTGCTAATTTACAAACATCTCGCGCTTGATTAATCATTTCTTGTGTTAATCGAGTGATTTTAATTATCGACTCCTTTGAAAATAAATCAGGTAAAAGGTTATGACATAGTTCAAGTAAAACGAGATCACGTAATGCAATAAATCCGTTTGTTGGATTTTCAGCTAAACAAAATCAAATAAATAAATAATCAATCAAAATAATATTCTTAGCTGTTATAACGTAAATATCAGAATCATTTCGTAAATTATTATAAACTGTTGCCAAAAGATTTCGCCCATGACCTTTTCGTTGATATGGGGGTAAAACTATTATATGACTGGAAAAAAAAGGTACAAACCAAAGAAATAAAAAAAGAGAATAATTTGCTAACCTTATTCTTGCTCGTTTTTTATCTGGATAAGCATAATAAAGATGAAGAGTAGTAAATCCAATAGATGCATAACGTGTTTGTCCATTGTAATTTTGGTATTGTTGATAAATAAGATAGGTAATTAAATTCATATTGTTATTGTCAATAATTGAGACATTATCAATGCAAAATACAAGAAATGCTGTAAGACGAATATCCCAGTCAAAAAACTTTGAATGATTCAATGAGTCATGATTATGATTAACGCGAGAAATAAAAAAAGGAGAAGATTCTTGCCCTTTTAACTTGCAACTGAATAATAATTCACCAAATGGTGAATATTGATTATCATTGTTTAATCTGAATAAAAATAAATAAAAATTTGTTGTTATTATTGATGATGGTATCCGTTGGCGTAATCATCAAATTATATCATCTTCATCTTAGTATCATATTAATGATAGTAGATTTATGTGACCTTCGATCTCTTTTTCATAGTAATTGACTTACTTAGATATTGTCGATGATGATGATGATGATGATGATGATGAAATAAAAAGAGAACGTGCTGGCATTAAGGATAATGCCGTATTCAAAGCTTCTAGTTCTTTACGTCGTGTACCAATTTCATCTTTTGTTTTTTGAATTTCTTCTTCTTTAAGTTTCCATTGGTACTGGTCTTCCTTTGTTGACAACATATGGAACCGCATGTAGGCAAAATCCAAATCAGTACCATTACATTCACATTGAGCTACTAGAAGACCTTTCTTTGAGCGACAATCATAGTAAGCTCAAAGAGCAGGTGGTTCTACAAGTTCCTTTTTTGTGTACTCAAAAAGTGAGTACACTCTAGAATCGGTCAGTGTGTCCGGCCGTCCGTTTACACGATAACTTTCGAAAGGAGAGTTAGATCATGATGAAATTTTCTACACAGTTCAGTCTCATCAATGTCTCAGTCGAGTTCGAAGATGAGAAGGATCCGTCAAGAAATGATTGAGTTATCGAAAAGATTGTCATTATTGACCATACCATCCCTGAGGGGGAGTACAGGGATTTTTCAAAAAAACTTTTTTTTCGTAGAATTATCCACAACATATATAAATCGACTCAATTTTTAACGCTGATTTTGAATCTAATATTAGTTTTGAAAAAAATCGTAGTTTTTTAACGAAACATTGACTGAAAAAGGTCTCAAATACACAAAACTGCATCTAGAAACCAAATTGCCTAGATATGTTTCAGATGACCAGCAGTTTGGGGATTTCTCAAATGCCTGCTTTTGTAGCTAGTCAAAAAGACTATCGAAAGGTAAAAACCCGAACTCGATAGCTATTACTATTGATGATTTATTATGAAAATACTGATGCCTGTATCTAGCATATATCTCTTATAAATTCATGAGGTTGCTTACGATCGTAATCCTGCTAGATACAAACACAAAACCATTCAAAAATAACTGTTCTTATCCAGTTTTCGAAGCTGAACACGAATCTGAGCTCAATTTCTGTGATCTCTAAAGATATTATATCACGCTGAGAGTAGAGCCAGTGATCACGGGATAGAGTTGCATACAGTGTGGTCCATGCTAACTTAGCATGCCTGTATTTTCTCCTTGTAATTTAGTGAGAAGGGATGTATCTTGATGAAATCTATGCCTTATAGAAAAAAATGGATGTACATTTTCGCTTTTTGAAGTACACATAACAATCGGATGCAAATCCGATGTTTCCGCATTTATTTCAAATAAAAATAGAAAATTATTGCATCGATGATATTATATCAATTTAAATTATTTTTTAATAGATGGCGCGTACTTTTTTTAATAGGTATATCCTTGACTGATCGAAATATCGTATCCATGATCAGCGTAGTTAATTGTTTTCGCTCTCTTCAAAATTACTAGAGGGTTTCACTGACCACAATAGAAAGCATTCACGAAAACGAATGAGAAAAAGTGTAAAAGAATAGCAAAAAGTAATGTTCTTCGCCCAGGATTTGAATCCGTTTTGCGCTGTCTACGCTTTGAATCACTAGACTACATACGAATCTCACATGTCGTTCTTCTAAATCATTAGACTATTTTTATATAATATAAAACACATTGTAAAAGTTAACTTACACTTGCTGCGTCATCCTACTCATCTGAAGCTGAAGGTGCTTCATATGTTATTGCCTTTAAGATGACCGTCTGATTTACGAGTTTGTGGTAGAAGTTGATACCATTTGTATCTAGGATAGTTGCCAAATGTTCATACATAGATGCAGATGGATTTATTAAGAGAGAATATGCCTCTCGTTCATGGTCTTCTTCATAAATAGCACCACCAAAAATGAAGAGCCGTAAATCGTTAAAATTTTTCAATTTTATTGGTTTTTTCATTATGTTTCCAACGCTAGTACAAAGTTTGTCCATCAGAGAACCCAACAATGATTTTAGATCATTTGCTATTCTATTTGTAGCAATTGCATATGAATTATGATGCATGTATGCAAATGGAACAGCATAATAAAGCCCATCAAGAAGAAGAACATGACAGGTCGCAATAGAATCAGTATGGATCAATGTCTTTGTAGCTTCAAATTTCCCCATATCGACGTATATAGACATTTCTAAAAAGAAATAAAACTATTTTAAGATTCACATTAAATAAAAAAATCATTAAATTATATATTTTTTGTGATGAAGTTAAGAAATACCAATATGATGTTTTTCTTAAAAAACTATTGTAATTAGTAAAAAATTTAAAACGGTTTATTTTTGATTATTAATTATATTAAGTCGCGTTACGTTTGCACTTGATAAATTTTTACATAGTTTATTTCAATGAAAAAAAAACTATTATAAATTTCAATACTTTGTGTAGCAATTTCGCTGCTGCATCGGTCACGTGGATGTTACAATCAAACTAAATACACGGTATCTATGTACAATACTTGCCCGTCCATTATTTTCTTTCATTCATATCTCAGTAGTGAAGCGAAAGAGAAAATCCATCTTCTTGTTCTATGTTATCCTCTTGCCATTTAGTTGTGTTAGAGAAAGCAAATAAATAGGCATGTATCGTCAAAAGCATACCTGGCAGTGCATTTTCCTTTTTCAGATGCACAAATTTCTTTTTCTTTTCATGATTATTGTTTTTCTGTAATTTTCTTTTGATTCATTCCGTGTCGCATATACGATGCGTACAAGAGTACAATATTATGTGTTTTTCTTTGATTCTTTATTTATTTGTCGAACAGTATAATTATCTTTTATTTTTGTTTGATAAATAGTTTTGTTAGATATAGTTCTATTGGTTTTTTCAAAATAAAAAATAAAAAACTGAAAATATTTTTATAGAACGTTCGATTGTCGTCAGATGATTGCTAAGATCCTAAATGATTGATTTTGATACACGCAATTGACTATCAGTCGAATTACTTTAGGGTGTGAGGGCGGTGTCAAAAATTCAAGATTAACTAAATTAAATTGAAAAAAGAAACCGGACAACATTGTGCCTTTTTTATTTTGGGATATTTGTAGAATTTTCGGAGAATAGATTATACGGTGTACAATAAGGATTTGGTAAGAACTATCTGTTTTTGCTCTAGAATGAAACACAAGTATCCAATGGAGATCTGATCGAGATTAGATTTATATGTTCTTTCTTCGATACGTATAGTACTCGAAGTTTAGCATTCAATATAAAGTCCACACATAGGATAAATATTAATTCTATCAATTGTGTTTACACTATAGAGATGGAGAACTAAAGTAGTGGAATCAACATTGCATTAGAAAATTAATTTTTGTAACGATGTTTTATCATTTATTATTTGTTGAACAAGCAAAAACAAAAAGTACAACCGAAATTTTCTGATAACAATAATTGTACAATTATTGTATTAGCTGATAAAAAATTAAAGCCAAAGACGAAATCGAAACATCTCAATGTCACTTCGATTATAAGGGAAAATAGCTTGTACCACAGACCGATAAGGTTCGACTTTTTCTTCATGAATTTCACCATGAATATCGAGAAAAATAAGATCTTTCATTTGTTCGACTAATTCACAAAGGTCTTCTTCAAAAATGATCACATGTTTCTCTAAAAAAAACAAGAGAGGTTGTTTTTGTTAATTTTTTCTCGGATATCCAATAAATCTGTGTTATCTACATACTGATCGACTCAGGTGTTTGAAGCTTATCATACCGTCGTCTAATTAAACCTCCATAATAATATCCTCGTTTATAATCGGGTCGAACTAGAACGAAAAGAATACAGGAAAATAAGACAATAATACAAATTTCAATCATGAATATAAATGCCAGAGTTCAGCTGAAGTCGGATAAAATGTCGGATCGGATCTCAGAAATATAGGTTAGAGTACACTAATTTTTAATTCTGGATTTTGGAGCGGAATAGGCTGGAAATGATTTCGATAGATCAGATATTGATGTTGAAAAAATTAAAAAACTAGTAATTCTATTAATGAAAATTCTAAACAATGTCGAGCAACTGCAATAATTGGAGTTTCTGCATTATCGATCTCAGATAGAGATTGTTGGAAATTGAAACATGATTTTGCCTACTGTAAGTATTTGACTTGATGTCAGTTTGATAATTTATTGTGAATAAGATTTCAGTCTATACTTTGCTTACTAGATGTCCATGGAAAATCATCCGGTCGCCAAAGACACAACGTTTGTAAATGAGCCATATAAGTGCTAAGAAAAGGCACAAGATTTTTGCCAATACGAATCAATTCGTTTGAATCACGATGACAACCAGGAATTTTAAATTCAGCATATTGAACAGTATTCAATGCATCTTTTCTTAGTTCATCAAATGCCTAAAAGTAAAATAAAAACAAGTAGGAATATGTTATCAATAAAAACTGATATATATTAAATTACATTTCAATAATAATCAATGCGCAGAATGCATGCTGGACGTTTTTTTTTTATTCTTGAACTTTTTAATATTCAATACAACTCAGATCAAACCATCAGATACCAAGATCAGACAAAATTTCGTAATCTTATAAATCCTAAGCTAAGTCGTAATATAAGATTGTCGACAAATCTTGCAGCCTTGTAAGATTTTACTATAAGATTATTGAAAATTTTATCATACGGTAAGATCTTCAACGTACGACTTACGTGAAAAAATGTTGAGACTACAATTTTTCGTATGAGGCCATCTGTTGTTACAAAACCTAGCGTCTGATTTTTCAACCTGAGTGTAAATAAATGAGTGCATTTCTTCATCTTGCAACAGATAGATAGGACGAATATACTCTTTCTTCAGTGTAGTATGAAAAACAGAATATTGGTCCGTTTACGAGATTTAACTATGATACTTTAAAGTTTTGTTTTAGTGATATATAGTTATTGAAATTATTCGTAATCAATATAGTTCACTTTCGGCCTTCTAAACAAGTGCATTCATGTAGATAATATACTTGCATATTGAACAATATGCAAAAGCCATTCGAGTGAATATATTCGCAAGTCTTTGAGTTGAATTGGCATTGAAATGAGATGAGCGAGTAGTTTTGCACGGGCTATTTTGGGTTCAATTGAATAATCAGTCCTAACTGAAGACAAGAAAAACGATATCTTAAAATCCCACTCATTCAAATAAAAAATGAATTCATTTTAATGAATATTCCTATTATTTCGAATTAGTAATTAACTCTTTTAATTGATCAAAATAGGCTGGAAGTAAAGAATTCAGAATAAACGAAATGTTTTTATACAAGGTTTGTATGTTCTCGATAAAACACCATCTATTTATCTGTATCAAAATACTGCTTTATACGAGTTATTCTCTTCCATAGATAACTATTGAAAATGTTTCTAAAACAGACTACCCTATTTCTCATACTTGGTTGTCTACAATTTGACGATTCGTTTTTTTGGTCTCATGAAGAATAAAAGTTTTCGTATAATACGCACGCCGAAATAGATAAAAAATATATAATGTGCTTTGCGTTATGCTAAAGTATTGCGGTATTCAAATAAGATGAAAAAGAAATACTGAATAAATCGTTTTGGTGCTTCTATAACTAAGACAAGAAAAAAATAAAAAATAAAAGCCGATCACCAAAACATAATGAAACTTATCCGATGATTATATTTATTTTCTATTATCTTATAGCATCCTTTTAATTGTCTTTTCATACTTATATCGAATCGAAACTAATTGACATTTGCTTTATGTCGAAGATTTCTGTTCAGAAGACAATCTATACCGATTTTACGAAAAGATTATTTTTCTATCTAATTTTGATGAATAAATTACTATTAAGACAAAAAAGATTTAAAGAGTTAGAGAATCATGTCTAAATCCAGAAACGCGTGGATCTGTAAAATATCGTACAATAGGCAACTAAGAGTATCTTGATTTGGGATGAAGAAATCGGAGTTCAATTTTTTTGAAAAAAAACAAAATAATCGAACGAAAATTCTCTTATACAGAAAATAGCATTTATAATAACAGTAGGACAAAATGTTTGGCTAATTCTTGGTTTCCTAAGTCTACTGGTATTTAAATGCCTTTCTCTCATAATATTTTTATAGCATATGAGACTATTTTCAAATGATTTGTACGAGATTATACATGAATTTTTTCCAAAGCGCTTTAATAAATATGTTTGCAGAATGTAATATTTTAGAAAGCTCAATCAATCTTAAAATTTTGTTTATTCATGAAAATAGAGCATGGATCTTCTTTTACTTTCGTTTGATTTTAAAACAATATAGAAGCTTACCATGTGAACGATCAAAATAAGGATTCAAATCAAGTCTAGTGACGTTTCGCAGCTGAATATCAGTTACTTTGTACTTTCCAATTTCGAATGGCAGTACCAATGGGCACAACGGTTGATTACCAGATTTTTCATAATCCCCTAAACAAAAAGAAGCAAACTTTCTATTATTTAACAAATAATTTGGCTCAAACTCGACCGAATTTCAGTTAAAACAAAATGATTGAAAGTTGATAATCCACTACTCTTCGTCATACCATTTTAATTCGAATTAATTATAATCAATTGTCTGCATTTAGTCCTTGTGCAAGTCATTTCACACGAACGATATTTCGTATCTTTCAATGAATTTATGAATGATAGATACTCTAAACCAATATCATTCAGTACTGGAAACTTGTGTGCGAAAATTTTCGGGCCTATAACCGATCCTTACTCATACTATTCTCAGCCATTTTTTTTCTTATTCGTCTGGATAGCCATTCCGGCGGTACACCATACTTTTTTTATTTATTCAGATTGAACAATTTTACAACACGCCCTGAACATTTCTCAGGACATCTTGATCGTGATCATATAAGAATGTGGTTATAATCAAGGCTATCGTTTAATCGATCAGTAGAATAAGTAAAATGATCAGTAAGCAAACTAAATATAAAATCAGTCAAATAATTGAATGATCAGTACATTATTTGTGTGGTCATATTATTAATATATTTCGACTTCTTGATATATTATTTAAAAATCAGTGAATTAGATCAAATGATCAGTATTAAAATTGAAATGTGTTATAAGGTGATTTACTTTTTTTCATGTTTGTTCTTTTGGTCTCTATATATCGTACAGCTGATAAGAACAACAATTTATAAATGTACTCTTAGCTCCCTTCTTTTACATTCAGCTTAGTATCAACTAGCAAAAAGGATGGAAGTCCTATAAGTTGTTCAATATAAAAGTGATATATCAGACAAAGAGGTTCTGGAAGGAAATGATGGAATAAATGGTAATCAAAGAATTCCAACAAGGATGTGGGGGTAGCGTAGATGAGCAGAAGAATCACACCCACACCCACACCCCAGAATACTCCTTTCATTGACAATAGACAGAGTAAGTCTCACGGTTACAAGAAGTTTTGATTACATTGAAATTTCATGTCCATTTTATAAATAGAGTTTTACGAATCAAATACTCACCCATATGAACTTTGATGACTAAAACAAACGCAAAAATCATATTATTATACATATTTAATTCATTCTTGCCATAAGTTATCCAAAATTCGAGGTTTATAAATAAGAGAAGAAGTAAGATGTTGATGAGAATTTATGGAATCAAAAAAATAGTTTACATTTGTCCACTGATGATCAATGAAGAACGGATGAATTTTAAATGAATCAGTTATGTCCGAAATATTATTCATTTGTAATTCACAACTTGAAGAAATATAAAAATCAAAAATGTGTTAAATTAATTACTTTATCAGGTAAACAATATCGACGAATGAAATTCGCATCAACAACAGATTTCCAAATAGTTGCATCAGTTCCATAAGCGCCATCGCTAGTCAGGTGAATTTTCAATTTTTTAATATGGTTAAGATTATTTAGAATCCATTTTAAGTAAGTAAATTCTATATCATTCTCAACCGAAGTTTTCAACGTAAAACTTTCTAGTTTTGGTACCTATAACATAAAATCAAAATACTATTGTCTCATTTATTATAGCACCTATTCAACTTTGTTATTTAATAGACCCAAATCAAAGTTCAATCTCAGTTTGTTTTCTGTGTAACTCGCCAATGAAAATGGAGACATTATGAAATAGCTTTATCATTAAAAACAACAAATATCATATGTTACTTTTTTCCATGACATAATATATCTTTGTCTTAGCTTTATCTGAACCTATGTCGTTGTGAACAGTTTGAGATCAAGTTCAATTGTGTATGATGAGTAAGAGCATTTTACGGGGTAGAGTCGTTATTTCAAAACAGAATAAAGAATTAATTTTATATGAAATGAAAACTCATTAAATAGAATTTGTTGTTGAAACCCTACGAGTCTAAGTCTACTAAACTTCTAAAACTTAAACGTGGTGATTTTAGTTATTAAATAAACAAATAATTACATAAGAGTTAAAATATTGGACACTTTGAATATCTCTGTTGCCTAGACTAATACGCCGAATTGACTTTGACAAACAATAATATCTATGTAAAGAGTGGTCGAAAATTTGAAATATATAAAACTTCTTTGTTTATTCTGTTCCTATTTCGAGATCCTTGACAGGCATTGCATTTCCAACATATTCTATAGAACATTCGTTTTCAAGTTCTTGAATCCATTTCAACACGTCGATGCTCATGGAAGCATTGAATGTTTCGTATGAAGCAGTCTATCAAGGGCCCAACTATTCGATGAAAAGAACTACAATGGAAAGATACTTTTGAGTACGTCAGTAGAAATAATCTTAGCACATTAGCAGTTTTGGCTGGTGAGTTTCACTTTAATTCTATAAAACTTTATCGAAAATTTGGATTTCGAAATGGCTTTCCTATTGCATAATCTCAACGGAATTCTTTATGTTTACAGCAACTTCTGAAACTTTTTAAGTGTTCCAAAGGCAGTTTTAGATAAATTCCGTAGGAATCCACCGTTTAGATACGATATGGATGTGTGACTATGCTTAAATAGCATCATAATTAATAAATCCTCAATAAATAAATTCGACGGAAAAAATAAGGCTCGGCAGCAGCGCTTCATTTTTATGATTGGTAATCATTGAAAATATCCAATCTGATGCTTCTGAAATCCTCGAAGACCTTTCATTCCAAAGCTCATGAATTATCACTGATACTCATAAACATTCGTTTTCAGTGAAATTTCATTTCAAATAAAACGCATTGTTGATGTTATTCGAAATTATCGTAAAAACTATATTATTACTCATTGAGTATACTACAGATTGTTTTGTGCGAAATAAACAGATAGTGAAAAGCCAATGCTTTCTCGAGAACCTTCAACATAAATGAAGAATCGATCGATAAACTTTTACTAAAAAGAAGATTTTATTAAAATGAAATACCGTTTATGCTTTATGACTTTTACGAGAGTAATTGAATACAAAGTGCACAATAATGTCAATAGTTTGTCCAAGTTTTAGGAGTAATAAGTTCAATCATAAATTCAAATAATTAATAAAAATACGAAGATTATTTCAACATACGATTTGATTCGATCATCAATTGACAAAATCATGTTTTGTTTTTCTTACCTTATTAACCCAGTTGTCATTTGTTTGCACGAAAATGTTGATGCCCGCTGTAAGTTGCCGTTTAATGTTCGATGAATGTTCCGAAAAGACAAATAATTGTTCAAGCGCAGGAACATAGTCAATAAGATGCTCAAAAAAACATGTATGTGTAATATGAATATGTAAGCGACGAAGAGTGGAACAACAAAATTTATATTTATCAGCAATCATTGAACCTGAAGAAAGATTATCATGAGGTTTTAAACATTGAAGATGATCGATATCATTATGTTTAGAAGCAAAATCAAGTCGGAGTGAAGTTAGTCTACATTCATTTGAGAAAAGATGACGTATTAATTCGTCAAATTTAATCAATATTTTTTCTAATAAAAAGACAAAAATCAGAATAAAAGTAAAAATAGTTCCTTTTAACAAAGGAACAATTTTCTTATGTTTCTTGAATATTCAATTACCTGTACGAACATTTCTGAATGATATTACATTGCATTTCGGAAGCGGTTTGAGCACTTTTTCGTGAAATGTTAATACAAGCTCATTAAGTTGATGTTTAACAAGTAATGGTAAACTTTTAATTAAAGATTCTATCAGAAAACATCGAGTAAGAACAAGGGATTTAAGATTTGGAAAGCGAAGAATATTTTTATCATTATCAAAAAGCAATTCATAACTTAAATCAGAAGCAATAGAATTTGCTCCATCAAAATGAATACGTTGAATACAAAAATTAAGTGTCGATACTGAATGAAATAATAGCGAATGACATTCATTAAAAGATAAACCTGGTTCAATAATAACAAGACCACTATTTAAACGATTATCAACTCTTGAAAGAATAGAACATATCAGAACATCGATCCGTTTATTTAACGACCATAAAGAAGTTAACAGTTCTAACGATGATAAATTAGCAAGTATAATCAGAAGAATTTCATTTGGTAAACTTTCGAATTTTGTTCTCATATTATTCTATAAATAAAACATATTTTCAGAGTTCTTTGCATTATTATTACATTCAATAATTCTTGTAAAAATAACTATCGAATCAAGTACGTGATTCATTTTTTGAAATAATACTTTTGAGTTTGAAAAAGTATTAGAAATAATTCCACGTTGTTTCTCTTTTTCTCGAACCAATTGTTTCAAGAAAAGCTGTGAAATCCTCCCTCTCCCATCCCTCTTTCTCAACCCTAGTACATGAAATCAACAGAAATTTCTTGTATATATTCTGTACACTATGTGTGATTAGTGTTTGCTCTTTTATTTCGAAAACTCTTGTTTTGCAAGCTGTCACAGCTGAAGCTTCACTCAGAAAATGATTCGTTTTCAAGTGTACCGTCGATATTTTTTTACGCAAAGCAACCTAGGTCAGATAGTATCCAGTGCCTGTGACAACATTTTCGGCTCGAACGAATATGCTATCGTGTAAAAATGGGGGCAAAGATGCGGACAGTGTCGCATCATTGTGATCCCAATAGCACATAGAAGACAGCTTCGAAGAACCTTGAGTTTATGGCAACTTGTTCTCGACTAAGCAAGATCTACCTGCCCTAAAGTTTTCAAATTTATCTCATCAGCCACTCTCGAGAGTGGCTCCAAGGAGTAGGGTACTCTTTAAAGTCAGTATTAAACATTAGAGAGTAAATTATGTTTCTTCTTATTGTCTATTCTGTTATGCTAAGCCTTTTCTTGGAAATCATTTTATTTTTATTCGTTGTCAGTTCTTAATTCAATAAAAATCCAATGCAACCTACCAATATAAATAAGTATTAGTTTGTACTCAACTTCGCTGACAATGTCCATCTAAACAAGAGTTAAAATAATGTTAACAAAGAAAAAGAAATGTAAACAACGATCTTTTCTTCTCGAGTTTGTATCTGTCAGAAGATTAAAAAAAAGAACTAATTTCAATTGCTTCTCCCGTAATATTTTCATAATTCGCACAGTAATTATAATAGACGATATTGAAAGTGAATAATATTCTGCAAAATAATTTGTCATGTACTTACAAAAAACAAAATGTTGATTCTGGCTCATTATATATTATGAACTAATTTGACGAGAAAAAAATTGACCGATGAATGATAAGACGCAACATCGGCTGCCGTCTAATCTGACGTAAGAGAAAAAAAGTAATTCGTTGATTGACCACACGATAGCGTTGCTGTTGTTGAGTTGTATGAAAAAAGAAGAGAGAGAGAGAGAATAGACTAAATAATCAGAAGAAAGCAAGAAAACGACAGAAAAAGATCTCATTTACTTGGTTTTTGGCATAAATATTTGAGACTAGTTTACTTTAAGCTTACGAGAGATATGATTAGAGGTGTAAGCCGTCAGCCGATTTTTACTGAAGCCGACGGCTGGCAGCCGGTGTTTTTGCTAGAGCTAACGTATTTCCAAGCCGGCGGCTTACACCTCTAGATATGATGGTATATACAGTACTGAGTGAAAGTGAAGGCAATTTATCCAAGATAAATCAGTACCTCATTACTTTCCAAAGCGTACAAATGTCAAAGATATTCAGTTAGTATCATTCTCTAAACTAGGACGCGAATGAAGGTGGGCGGTTGTTGTTCTTTTTTTTCGCCAACATCCACTCTCACACGCTTCTTGCAACATTGTTCAAAGGAATCCGATTGACATAATAAATTATCCGGGGTATTTTTATCAGATCTGCTTTGAACTGCATTAATGCAACATAACTGTATGAAACCGAACTCCATAGGACGGCCGTAAAATCGTCCCGTACCGCCCCGTATCCCGCTGCCTCCCTGTCCGATCTCACCTCATTCTTATTTGCCAGTCCCTTCATGTTCCGTTCCGCCTCATTCATACGTAACTCTTATTTCTTGAAGTACCGTTGAGAAAAGTTCAGCGAAATTATGCCTTTTTCTTCAATTTAAATCACTTAGTTTACTGAAGATCTGTTTCAAAATAATACTGAAATTTGAACATTTTTATCACAACAATGAAATATGAAAAGCTCAATAAAAATTGCAATTTGAATAAGGACTGCTCATTGGCTAACTGATCTGAGCAAAGGTAAATTGCCGACATTTTCTCGATGTAGGTGTGCGTGCTCTGAGAAAAACTAGGTTTATAAAGCCTTTCAGATCTCTGAACAATTCTGCCTTTGACCCGAGGATGTGAACAGAGACGAGTAGCACTTCTATCGCTCATTTCCTAGAACATCACTCTTCTACAACGTCAGACAACTGAGATTGAACAAGAACAAAATGAATTTTCATCATTTTGCTCCGAAATTACCCCAGTAGACTCTAATAGTGAGTTTCAATTGATCAAGAGAAAAATTGAAGTATAAAGAGAGCTTGCCGCCAATGATAGTATTCAGGCATGAAATTTAAGTTTTATTAATTTACACTATCAATGCTAATCAAAAACGAACGACAAACAAAAATGTTTTTACTTTTTCACTGAAAGAAAAATTCTTCTAAACCAACGAACTCTGCTCGTAAATACAATAGATTTTTAAATTTATAGTAATAATTTTGATGTAAATGAGTTAGTCAGTGAACATTCATCTACATTTTCTATATGATAAAGTGTTGCAATATGAAATAATTCCAATCATGTACAAGATGTCGAATAAAAGCGGAAAATGAGAACAAAACTAGTCAATCACTATCACAGGATTCAAATGCACATGTAAAATACAAGAGAAATTCAACCTAAATGTGTTGGTAGCAAAAAAACTCTTTGTCGAAAGAGAAATTCAAAACGAGCTCATCTTAAAATTGCAAAACTTTCCCCAGTAGTAACCTAAGAATTGTATATTTAAAACAATTGGTGTGCAGCGATAGCATACCTATTATCGACACGATCAAATATGGCGTATTTATTTATTGTAATAACTATAGCCAATCGTTGATTCATAGTATTATGAATAGATATTCTTTCTTTAAAATGAATATTAAACAAATATTTTGATCATTGTAAATAAATACTTTTTTTGATTTTATAAGCAAAAAAAAAGAGCGAATAATCCAATCAAATAGTTAAGTGAAAGAAAAAAATACACACAAAGGCATACGATTTCCATAATGGAAAAAAATCAAATCATCGAATTTAATTCGGAGTTGTATGCAAAAGAATACTATCGTGGAATGTGTACAGATAAATGAATGTCTGTTTAGTTTGTTGAATTATATAGAGAAAAATTACAAAAAAAAAAGAAAAAATATATATCGAATCACAAAATGACTTGATCAACAATTCTTTTTCTTTTCAAACAAATGTTCCATATCTGATCGTAATGATACGAAAGTTTGCGTTGTCTAGAACTAAATCATCTCATGTATAAATTTAACACCCGATACGAACATTGTCCAATAGTAACTTTCTTCATCTGTGAAACGTGATGAATATAGATCTTGTACATATCTATGCATTTAAATAAATATAGAAAAGCTTCCGATTTCTAGTCAACTTACTGCATAATGGATAGAAGATTAGGTGGGTTAGCTTTAACAATAACATAAATTAATATTGGTATTGTATCATCAGCGCCAGCGGCTGAATTCGACGCTAAACGAATTAGATTTTGAATTATACGTATGCATCGTTGTACACATCCAAGTTTATCACGAGGAGTCTTTAAAAAACAAAGAATAGATAAATAATTCAATTTTTTCATGAAAATACTTTCATTTACTTTATAGGCATTAATTAAACGCAGTTCAGCTTGAGCTGATGGCCATGGACATTCTCGTTGATAAAGTTTTTGAATGCGTAATTTTTGATGGTTAGGATCTAGTTGTTCTGCAAGTGTTCGTATATGACCACTGAAAATTCTATAAGAAGAAAAGGAAAAATGAAAAAATGAAAGTCAACTATTCATACTGATCTCGTTGAACATCGATTTGCCCATTGGGATACAATGCAGCGGTATAGATTTTTGCCATAACCATACGTTCAATTGATGTTTGAGACATAGAAAGTTGTTCGGGTGAAGCAGCTATTGAATTAAAAGAAAATAATTTGCTTTTTTTTCTAAATGGAAATTCGATTTACTTTTCCAGTTGATATCAGATGTTATTTCTCGACAACAATCTTGAAGAAATAATTCTAATAAATGCATTTTTTCTTCGGCAATGGATAAATGTGAAAATTTATCAATTAATTTTTGTAGCAAATGCTCTTTAGAATCAAGAAATAATTTAATAAGATAATTTATTAGATTTTGTTTGCATAAATCTTGATCACTAAAATATACAAATGATGAAATCCTATTAAACAAAGTAAAACGAATAAATTATTTGCTTACCGTTGTATTCGTACAAGTAATCGAGCTTGATGATAGGTACTATTCAGAAGATTTTCATTGTTTTTAACAAGATAAGCAATGTAAACTGATCTTGATCGATAGTCATCAATCATCGAACGAATTAATTCTTTACACTCATTTTCATTAAATTGTTGTACACAACGCAATGTTTCATACAATTGTGCTTGTAAATCACGATCTTGTAATGCAATAGCTTCATAGAGTTGTGAACGAAGAAATAGAATTAAATTATTAGATGATTTACGATTCGATGAAACTGATGATGACGATGAAGATGAACAATTTTGTTGCTGTTGTTGTTGTGGTAAATATTGACTAAAGTTTATGGGTGAATTAAGATAATTTACTGAATCAGTATCAGCTGACGCAAGTACGATACGTAATTTCTTTTTAGCGTCAATAAATGCTCGACATGTATCCAGATTTGTTGGATCATAATAAGGAATTGTATCGGCAAATGTTTCCACCTAAGCAATGATTATAGTTGGAGAAAAAACGAGATAATTATTTTCTTTTGAAAAATACTTACTATGATTGTTTCGGTGTGACTTTCGTCGGCTGTTGTCGTTATTTTTGATCCACTCTCAATATTGGTCGATCCTTTATTTGAATATCTGGCAAGAATATCATCGGCTGATGTTGTGTCTATTGAATTTTGTTGTTCGATTTGCGCATGATCATCTTCTGGAATGCTACGATCTCGACGATTCGAATTACTGCTACCACTACCAACAAATCGGCGACGTAAAGCAGATATTGCATTTGATGAACGTTTTTCATTGGACTTATTTGATGGTGACTAAAACAAATTGTTGTTGAAAGCATTTTAGAATAAAAAAAAGCCTATTTCTTGTTACTGGTTTTATAATTGAAGTTGATATTCCTGCATTGGATGGTGGAAGATTTTGTGATGAATTTTCATTAGATGCATTGTTATTTGGTGAAGTATTTGATAGGTCAATTAATGGAAAATGAACAGATCGTGGATCTGTTGGAGATTTTAATGGAGTTATTGTTTGTTGAGAAAATTTTCCACTATCAAGTAGAATACCACTATCAGATATCTGAACTCATAGAATAGAAAAGCAAAGCTTAACACGCAAACTAATTTCAATTTTTACATACAGATGGAAGACTTTCAAGTGAGGATTTCATTAAAAGTATATCAACTGGATCAGCTAATCTGTAAAAAATCTATTAGTGTTACAAGGAAAATAATCGATTTTTTTGTGATTACCTTGATGATGATGATGCTACGGAATTGTTGTCTGTTGAAAAAGAAGGCACTAGAATGAAAAACACACCAATCGGCAACAGAACTTTAGCTTTTGTTGAAATACAAGTGAGAAAAATCAAAAGTACTAATAAGTTACTTCTCTATAGACCACATCTATTATTAGAATTCGTAGAAAAATTTATTTACCGGTAAGTTCGTTGAAATTTGATGCTGAAGTAGTATTTTGATTAGTAACGAGTCGTAGCATATTTGAACCATCTTCACTATATGTTTCACTGTCACTAGCAAATGCTTCTGTACTCCAACAATCAGATTGTTGATCAATGGGTTTATTCATATTATTTAATGCCTGTTGAAAACGAAAAGAAATATACTCTTTTTTGTTTTTGTTTTTGTTTCTATGAGCACTAAAAACTTACGATTGAATTATTTTCCGGTAGGAGAATTCGATTATTTCCACGTGGTTCAATAATAGGTAATTCTTCAGTAATTTCAATTAATCTAGCTGCTGCTTGCTCTTGTCCATCGATTTCAGATACACCAGCATTCATTGTTGACCAATTATCAGATATTGTTGAACGTGTTTCATCGCCTAAATCAGAGAATTGATGTACACATTTGTGTTTATATTCGTTTCTATAAACTACCTGCTTCCAATGTTGGTCGTTGTTGGGGTAAATCAAATAAATTAAATTTATCTGGTACATCTTCACGAAATGGTTTTTGTACAACAATAGGTAGAGCTGGTCCACGTTGTATCGATCCGGCAAGATGATTATGAATAGTACTTGTACCGGTTATTTGACTATTGATCACACTATCTTGCGTATTAACATGAGGATTATTCGTACTAGTTGCTCGTCGATCACTACTATCAAGACTAATATGTGACGAAGGCGTATCACGACCGGATAGATTTGGTGTTGCTAGAAAATTAGACAATTAACGCAATCAAAATATATTGAAATGAAAAATTACCTCGTCCACTAACGGATCCATTATCAAATAAGGGATCGGTTTCAATTTCATTGGTTGCTTTATCAAGATCATCACATGACGATGTAACACTTAAATTGCCGGTTGACGCAGCACCTTCACTAATACCTTCAAGACCTTCTAGATTATCACTAATGTTACCAACACTACAATTATCGTTTAAACGAAAACGTAATCGTTTTTCGGTAGCTGCTGCGTCATATTCATTTGTGCTTGATGTTTTTATTAATTTTGTTCTTTCGTTTTCTTGTAAAACCTATCAAATTGAATACAAAATGATTTGTTTTTGTTGTCTCATATTCAAAAATAATTTACTTTATCTTCTGGTAACATTCCTGGACATTCATTATCGCTTGATTCTAATGTAAAAACAATAACTTCTTCAGGAAATTGAGTATTTTCATTACGTTCAGGTTTTTGAGCACATGCATCTATTAGGCGGAAAAGAATAATTTTTTTTTCCATTCTGATTCAAATAAATGACATTATCTTACCACCTCGTGTTCCATTCGGTTTTCGATGTTGATGTCGATTATTATGGTCCGTATGATGTTCATTCACAGGTGGAATTGGTGGTAAAACTGGAGGCGGAGGTGATTTAAGACATTCTTCTAATGGTAGTAATGCTCGCAAATAAGTATCCAATTGTTGTTTTAATTCACTATCGCTAATATCATTTACTGCACGACGACAAAATAAAATCTAGAAAACAGAAACTTTCTTTTTGTATAAAAGAAAAATGCTAAAATTTAATCGAACCAATTGTCGAAGTTGTTTTTGTGTTATTAGAATAATATTTCTTGTTATACTACTTGATGATAGAGTTGATGAACGTATTGGAAACATCACATTACGACTTGAATCAATAAAATTATCCAATATACTTGATACACAATTCTAAATGAGATATGGAATAAGATGATTCCATTTTGTTTTTGGTATAGTGAGAAACTAGTTAAAAATTAGTGCAGAAACACAAACAATAGAAAGCCAACCATAGGTATAATGGTGTAAATATAGGTGCACTGTGAATTCTTTTACATCGTGTGAATATGGAAAATTTTTATTAATAGAATCATATGCAAAGATTTAAAAATCATTTTCATGAATATGTCCTTAAATGAACAGAGAAATCGAGTCTTTCTATTTATTAGTCGAGCATTGCGTGGATTAAAACCTTGCACATGATTAAATTAAATAACCGACATACGAATGAATGTGATTAGAACCTAATATTTTTTTTTCCATATTCGATGTAGTGTTAAAAATTTTGCAAAGGTTTGTTTTTATTCTAGCAAAGTTGACAATATATAAAAAACTCACAGAAATAAATGATTCTGACTAAAAATAGGTTTCGAAAATGAAAAAACAAGATAATTTCGAAAAGAAGAAATTCTAATCACCTCTTTAAATTTACTATAAAGATCCTTGGTTTTCGATTCTGTATCATTTGACATAGCAAGTGTTTGAAGTATAATAGCAATCTAAATAATCAAAGAAAAACAACAAGTTCATAGAGGGTTTTGTTTTGTAAATCGATTTACTTGATTCAAATTATGTCGTGCTATTGTACTGATTGGTATATCAGCAATAATTCCATGTTTTTCTGGTTCACATATAGCTGGTCCAATAAATAATGTCATAATAATATCACAACATAAACAACGTATTTCACGTGATGATAATTCACTCGATTGAGATAATATAATAAACATTTGCGATATCAAAAATGATAAAGATGTTGGAAAAAAACTTAAGGAATTGCGTAAACTTTCGATAAATGTACATGTGAATGTATACAGTTTTGTTATAATCACATTGCGATATTTTTGTATTTTATCTAAATAATCACGCGTACCTGGTTGACCGAATCTAAATGTAAATACATACATTTTTTTAAATAAAAATTTCGAACTTTTGCAAAATTTGTATTTTTTTAAATTTACTTTTTTATACGTTCTTGTTTCGAAAATCGATTTAATGATACATCCGGATTAATATCATAAAAATATTCGTCCTAGAAAACAGAAGAGAAACTCTTCTTCGAAATCAAAATTGAAAATATTTACATCAATGAGCAATTGCATAATTGGTTCGTGTAGTGCAGCTGTTAAAACTAATTGAAAAACAACAAAAAATATGAGATTTTAAATGAGAAAGTCTTTGGAACTTACATAGTTTACAGGATTGTGATGATGTTAATAATGAATCAAAAACGATTTTAAACGAACATGATGAACGTTGTAAAACAATTCTTGGATTTGATTCATTTTTTAATTGTATATCAATTAATGAACGAAGTAATTCAAGAATAAATAATTCATCATCATAATACAAACATTGATTAAATAGAGATGATATTAATATTGGTATTATTGAATTTAATAATAGGCCATCATTTTTTTCTATCGTAGCTAAACATAGTGCTAATAGATTTGGCTGTTGTCTTAAAAAGGTTAATAGACGTAAATAAGGTAAATCTTGTAAATAATTAAAATATTTATATGAGTCAATAAATGTTATATTATCAAGAATTTGTATATGCTGAAAGCATGATTTCGTTTGAATATTTTGATCATTACGGTTCGGATAAATCAATGACGTAAGTATATAACGTTGATGGGATGTTATCCATTGTCGATGTTGAACATGTTCAGCAAGTTTAAGAAGCTAAAGTTAAAAAACAATGAAATTCTTATTTTGCTTTTCATAAGTACAAAAAAGTCTTGTTTAATTACTTGAGTATATTGTTCTCGTATACGTTTTTGTTCAGCAGAAACAAATGATCGTTCGCGTTTTAATTTTTTAACTAATTCAATAAGTTCTTCACTGGAGGTCATTATACATCTGCCAAAAAAAAAGCACAATTATGTCATTTCTTTTCATCATCAAATATACGAATACGAACAAAGAAAAACGAAAGAAGATATTTCTTTTCATAATACGTATTTGTGCATATACAGCACAATCAAGCCAAAGAAAAAAAAACAAACAGACAAGAAATAAGAACATGTCGAGAAAAAAAACAAAAGAAGAAAAAAAACTAACACTTAAATCCATATAGATACACGTGTGCTAAATGTATATTACACGCACACACATAAAATGTAGAAGTCTTTTTCTGTTTGCTTTTTACTATGTAGATACATTGAGTAATTGACTGGTATGAAGTGGTTGTACAGGTGTATTTCCAGTGAATATTGTTTTTGGTTCACAAAATGGACCAATATTATTATTAATTGATACTGCACGAACAGCAAATGCATAATGACTATTCGATTGAAATTCTTTCAATGTAACTGCCATAGGCAAACGCATTGATTTAACGGTACCAATCTACAATACAAGGAAGCATTCATAAATATGGATTCTGCTTCGTTATTTTTTTTTATTTTTTTGTCTCGGATAATTTTACTTTTTTCCAATCCGACGCAGTTAGTGCTGCATTTTGTTTATATGCATAGATTTCATAGTTTTGTATAGATTCCATAGGTGTTGATTGCAAATTCCATGTTAAACGAACTGTTGTATTTTCTTGAGCTATATTCAATTGTGGTCGAGCTATTGTATGATCACAGGGGTTATGTTCAGGCAGTGGACGTAACGGAACTACCTAACAAATCAAATTAAAATTACATTAACAATGAAAACTTTCATTTGGTCTATTTTTTGTCTATTTTTCTTATTTGATCGATGTAATGTAACGTGAGACTTGCATATGACTAACTGATAACACGAATATGCCTCTTGAGAAATTGAGATACGTGTACATGTATGTTGAGAAGAATTTGAGTTTAAAATAACCAAGCTCAAATTATAGAGATAGGCAAAAGTCTTTTTTATGAAACATTTTTGTTTGATTAAAGAAAAGAATTTCTTTTTAAAGAGCTATCATACAAAAATTGTTTTGTTGTGCTTTTGCTTTATTATACCTGTCCATTTGGAAGAGAAGTATTTGGACGAATAGTACGATTAATTGTTGTTGATGTTGCTGTTGCTGTTGTTGATCCTAAAAAGAAAAAGAAATGATTTTGAACTTGTTGTTGATAAATGAAAACTTACGAATGCGAGTAGCTGTAGCTGTCGCTGCTGGTGTTAGAGTTGTTGTTGTTGGTATAGAAGGTTGAATAAACGATGTACTCTGTTGATAAGAACAAAAAAGAAAGTGAAGTCAAAGAAAAAAAACACAAATCTTTATTAACTTGTCTAGTAGCAGTAATACGTTGAGCAGGCAATCTATGCATCGTATCATCTTCGTCTTCTTCCGTTAAATCTACTACATCATGTGGAATAGTTGTAGACAATAATGGTGGTGGTGGTAGTAGTAGTGGTGGTGGCGGAGCTAGTGGATTTGAAGTTATTGCTTGTCCGTTTGTTACAGTAGCTGATTTTATTGTAACTGTTGATGTTTTACTTGTGAGAGTTGTAGTTGCTATCGCATTTGAAGATAAACGAGATGCAACCTGTGGTAATGATGAAATTGAATTATAAACACTATTGTTGCGTGTAGCTAGCAATGGTCCATTATTGTTGTTGTTGTTTGATGTATGTGAACCTATTATTGGTATAATAAGAGATTTTTGTTGTTTTGGTGCTAAAAGTTTATTATTATTGATCGGTGTCAAATCAGTTTGTACTTGTGAATCATTTTGACTAAGTTTTGTTGTTTGTTGTTCTCGATCGATTTTAGTTAAATTAAATTGTTTTAGACTTTTATTCTGTTGATAAATATTAAGCAGTTCTTCGTGTTGCCGTTTTAGTGTCTGAATAAGACGATTGTTATTTAATGATCGTTCCTGTTGTTGTTCTAGTCTAGCTTGTTTTAATGCTTGTTCAAATTGAATATATTCATTGTTATGTGGAGAATTCGGTTTATGACATCGACATGTACATGTATGAGAATTATCATTACTTGGTGTTTCTAGAAAAACATTTACTCAATTTAAAATAGTTGATTTCGATTCGATATATCTTCAAGCATCCCGAAGTTTTAAATATCAAAAAAGACTTTTCTTGAAAATGTAAAGATCTTGTCAAGACTATTTTTCGTTTTCTTTCGAACTTCTAAGCAAACATGTTCTCAGTGGCTCGATGCGCATGACTCAACAAGCGAAAACTGTAAAGTCAAATCAAAAGAAATTTTTTTCACTACTCATGAAGATAGATCGAATGGCATTATAGTCACGTGAAAAGCACTTGGACAGTTATGAAATGAGAAAAAAAAAGATTTTTCTTCAATATAGAAATAAAAATTGATTTGCTTTTATGTATGAAACTGAACATAAACGAAAAGACTATTCTACTCATAGGTAGAAAACAAATTATGAACAAACCTTCAAGTTCTACAATATCATCATCGATTCGTGATCGTGATAAATTAGTTGCTGGTTGATCACTTTCCATCGGCGTTGTTTCGTCTTCAAGATTTGTATTTACATTTTCTTCGATTTTATTATCGACTGTTGAAGATAAAGCTAGAAAATGTATTCAAACTAGAGTGAACACAACTATAATGATAAATAATAATTACATTCTTCATGATCATTCTCATTCATTCGATTCATGATTGAACCAATAATTTTATGAATATCCTGAGTATCTATTGAAAAATTTTGCGTTATCTAAATCGAACGATAAAAATTCTAATTTATATTTGAATTAAAATAATATTAAACCTGATTTGAAGATGATACAATCGTCGCTGACGAAGATTGAACAATTTGATTTTTAATCTGTTCAATAATATTATGAACAATTTCTTCGTTGGTTTGTTCATTGTTGTTATCACCGATAATCATTTGTTCTATTTCATTATCAGGCAAAATAATAAATGATTCTAATGGTTGTGGGATCTCTTCTTCTAATTTAATAGTATGTTCCGTTGTATCCAATAGCGGCGATTGCTTTGAATTGTTATCACTATGATATGCTGAATAATGTGTTGTTGATGTTGTTGTTGTTGTCGTTGTTGGTGGTGGTGGTGATGGGTTTGAATTATTACACATTGATACGTTAGATGACTTTGAAGTTTTTGATACGGTACTTTTTCGTGCCGTATATCGGTATATATCTGGTAAAATACCAGCTGACATGTTTGTCTAAAGAGAATAAAATATATAAGAAATCATATTTAGCTCTATAGTGGCTGCGTTTTTTTTTGTTTGATTAATGATTATCATTTCTTTTAGTTACATATCTGACATGAAAGAAAACGAATAAGAAAACAAAAACAACTGTTTTATAAGAACTAGAATAATTAGTTTTTATCATTAATCATTGATGTTTGAATATCAAACACGTCGACTAGTGTTTCCCATTGTTCAATATCTAATGATAGAATTAATTGAGTTAATGAAATGACTTGATGTGACGATGATTTTTGATCGTTGTTTATAGTACTATCATTTTGTGTATCAGACTTATTTGATGGTCCTAGAACAAAAAAAGTAGTTGATAGAATGAATGTGTAACAATTCTGTGCACTGTTTCGTAAATGGGATTAGCAATGCTCGAATAAAAACAAATATTTAAGTCGAATAGTTTGGTACATTTGAAAGTCACATATATATCTATGTAATTTTCCTCTATTATCGTTATCTATCATACGTTGGATTCTATTCGTACCTACATACACAGTCCGCTTTATCATTGAATACAATTAAGCATTAAACATGGTCTCATGTTTCATGATTTTGAATGAAAAAAAAGAACTTTTTGTTGTGGTTAAAAATTCACTTGAGTTCCTAAATCTGGCGCATTTTTTTCTTACCAAAATGATTTGAACAGTCCTTCCGCACTATCGATGAACGTCACACTGTAAGACTCTAGATCAAGCTACATTTTAAGCAGTTAACAACATTTATCTCAAGTCTGAATCCGGCTATAGATGTTTATATGCTCTATGCGAATGAACATAGTTTTACATGCTATTTTAGTATTCGAAAAAAAATAAAGTTCGAGAACTTACGTAAAACAGGTAATTGATTCTCATCCAAAAAAAGTTCAGCTTTTCCTTCCTGCAGAAAAAAAGGAATTTCTATAATAGAAATAAGGATTGTCGTTTTTTTGGCTTACTTTAATAAGAAATGATACATGAAATATATTTTCGACTGAACGACAAAACAATTTTGGATGAATTGTAAACATAAAAAAACTAACTGGCTGATCTTAAATGAAACAGAAATATTTCATAGAGCTCAATAATTAATAAAATAAAAACACTTACTGTCATTATTTTGATATGCTTCTTCTAAACATCGATTCATTCGAATAATTTCCTGAGATGTTTGTTCACCGGATGGTATCATTTGTTTAATCTAAATATAATTGTTGTTTTTCATTTCTAGTCGTTGCATCTTTAATATTATTTACTTCTTGTATTTGAGTTCGTTGTGAAAGATCGACACTTTCTCTCGTGTGACGAGCGCGTTGTTTCATAAATGATTTTTCTAAAGTTCGCTTTTCGAACCAAAATGTAGGTAATCGACCAGACCTTGTGGTTTCAAAAAAAAATCAGATATAAATTATCAACTTTTCAAAACATGTTGCTTACATAAAATTTGTCATGCCAGTCGTTTTATGGCATTGAGAAAACTCAGTATAAAACTCGGCAAATGCATTATCATATTCTTTGAAATTATTCTTAATAATTTTAGCCTATTAAAAGGAAAACGAAAAATTTTCTTTAATAACAGAATACGACACAATTGTTCCACCTACACATTTTCGTATCAATTTAAAAGCATCTGCAACTGTAGATCTTTTATCAATAGCAATTGTTTGAATACGAGCAAATGATGATATCGTTTTTAATGCAACTAAACATAAACTTTATTGTAACAAAAAAAAGTACTAAAAATTATACCTACTGCATACTTACTTAAATCGAGAACACCTTCACGTGGTGTTCGAACTAGAAGAAAGAACGAAATGAAATGAAAAATAAAAGGAATCTATCTTTACCGTTCTTGTAAATTTCATTGCATTCATCTAATTGATTAAATAAATCTTCATCTTCAGGTTGAATTAATTCAGGTCTATGAACTAAAATAAGAAAAGATTACACAATCGTTCATTTTTTAGTAATAATTGAGTGATGCATGTAGAACTTCTAAATGTCGAATTCAGCTCACTAATATCCGTAGGTTATAATGTCTGTCATAGCAAAAAAAGTGAATAGACGTAATCATGCGTTAGCAAAATAGATAATTGTTAATTCCTTTTTTGAGCGTGCAACAAACATCATTCTATTACAATTACTTTTTGTTGCTTTATAAAACGTGATTACTGTCATCAGCAAAATAGAAAAATGAACATTTTTAGCGAGTAGCTTTTTCATGCGCCCTAAAAAATATACTTTTGTGATCTATCTGTCACAGATTCTAATATTTTCTATTCAAAGAATACCGTTAGGAACAAGATCAAAAGGTCGTAAAATATCCATTTGCACTAAATTACTTCCGTCTAGAATAATTCTCTAGAGATAAAGTGACAATAAAACACTCAAATATATCCATGCCGAGCCTTCAATAAATCATAAATCTTTCAATTATTCTTTGCTAACAGTAGGACAATTTTGAATATCAAGTTACAGTCACCAGTCCGTAAGGATATACGTGTATCAAATAAATCCTAATGAGAAATGAATAACCTATAGAAAACTTCGCCATATCGATTGTCAGATTTGAAACTTGACATAGATACCGGTTTTAAACAGAATTAGTTGATAGTGAATGTTTTAGATATAGGAAATTGAATTTCCTTGGTTTTACTTAGCGGGAGCACATACCGACGAAAGGGATTGCCTTGATAGCAGTAAACCAATAGCACGACTTGTTTTTCATAGCTAATAAGAGCCTGCAGCTGATAATGAGACATATTTCCTTGTAAGAACATATGTTACTAATAAGTATTAAAGTATAACGTAAAACTTGTTAATATGAACAAAACAAAGCAGCGGCAGATTGTTTATGTTAAAAATGCATGCACAAAAAAAACAGAAACATAAAAAATCACTCACTATGTAGATTACTAATGAGACTTCGATAGTTAACGCGTGTTTCAAGTCTTTCTACCGTCTGATTGGTAAAAGAAAAGCGAGAAATAAATAATTATTATTATTCTTTTTTATGTTACACAACAACAACTACAACAATAAATGATGCTTACATTTGTTTGATTAACCAATTTATGTACACCTTTGTTTTGATTAGGAAGAGTCGCAATATCAGCCATACGAATTTTTTAATTCTATTTTCTGAAATCAAGAAGAGACAAATTATATTTTCTGCCTATTATACATTTCATTTTTTGTCAACAAGTTTATGAGAAAAAACAAACAACTATGAACATTTTTTTTCAACTTTCGTTTTAATACGATATCTAGTTTTAAGTTTTGACGCAAACGCATAATGTCGGCGGACAGTTTATAGCACACAATTGTAAACACCAATTTTCTATACCAACCAATGGTTTAAGTGCTTCATTTGTTGGATAACAACGAAGAGTTTTATTATTTGCATCGATTTGATCTATTAATTCTTTCAATGGACTGAATGGAAAGATAAAACTTTGCCGAGCTTCAGTTTTTTTTGTTGTTGTTGTGGGAGTTGTGTCTGTCGATGTCATCATTGTTGGATAGACGATAAAAGGTGATGGTGTATGAATTCGAGGGAGAAATACCGGATTCAAAAATGGCAATAAAAAGAAGTGATTTGATGGCATCGTTGTTGAAGGCATCAATAGGAAATTATTATCAACTGCCGCTATGCTAATATCAGCACAGCTAGAAAAAAAGAAAAATTTCAGTAGAAAAAAAACAAGAAAATAATAAAATTTTACTTGTAAAATTCTTCTTGTAGACCACAACCGAGACATGCTTCACCTGTTTGAATATTTCTACCCCAATTATTACCAGCATGATAACGCCACTGTAGCACACATCGAGAACATGATAAACCAGGAGGTAGATGAACGCTATACAAATCAAGATTTCTGTGAATATAAATATTTCTTTTGTTCGGAAATGTTTTACCGTAAAAAAATTAAATCCAATCCTTCACTAACAGAATATTGTTTACCAAATCCTTGTATATCAAGTACATTTTGATCTAAACATTCTTGTGTCACTTCTGTATTTGCATCTGCTGCTGGGCATAAACGAAATTCCATAAAGCCTTTGTGATTGGCTGATAACTATCAATACAAAGAAAACAACGAAACAATTGAAGAATAATGTATTTTTCAACCAACCAAAATTTTGACGTCAATTAATGCGCCTGATAAATAATGACGAACTATTATATTTGTTGCATATTTACCACCCGATTCATGGTATCGTGATCCATCGTATGAATCACCACAAATACCACATTTACCTCCTAAACAAGGAATAGAGATATATTTGTACTCTATCTTTTAAATACATACCATTCAAACTTTGAACTCCTAATCCACCACAATTTAATCCAACATCGTCATAATTGGCAGGAACATCAAAGCCTAAAAAACAAAAAAAATTCACTTTTAATAATTCACATTCAAAATTAAATGTACCGTAACGCCACGCAGCATTACGCGCCGGTGGATCTTCCATGCGACCGTGTCCATGTATTTTTTGAAGGGAAATCAAAATAATAAGCCAGTAACACAATTCTCTATGATAGAAATAGGAAGTAATTAGATTTCGATTTTACGTCTCGTTTTTTCCTTCGCCGTAATAAAGAAAAATGTAATCTTACCTGCACACCATCATTATTTTATTATTATTATTATTATTATTAGTATGAAAAGATTTTAAAGATTCGATAGAAACAGTGCTGGTATAGAAACGAACGAAAGAAATATTTCATATAATACATATTGTCTATTTTTTTGACAGATAAAATTTGGTCTAATTATTGAATGATAGTAAAATTTTACTCGAAAAAGAGTTAGAAAAACTTGAAAATGTATCTTCTTGTCAATAGTAGATCGAAGGACAGTTCAAAGTTGAGCTTGGTATGATGACAGTACGAAAATAAGCCGATCAAACCGATACAAATGAATGAGCGAGCGACAAAGAAGCAAATGCACTACAAATCCGAATGGTTACGTTTTTGTTATCTTCAATCAATAAAAAAAAAAGGTAACATTGATCCCTTTTCGTCTTTATTTTTTCGTTCTCTTAATTATGCATATAAGTGATTACAACCCGCGATTGTACAATCGCAATAAGATAAAATTATTCTCAGTAGAACGAAGTCCTGTGTCGTTTTTCAAAACAAAAAAAAATGAAATAAATTTCTTACTTTTTCAATTTGCGAATTTTTACATGATCTAAAAATTACGAAAATATTACATAAGGAAATCAACAATTGAAAACATACAATTCACAAAGTGATAGTTGTTGAAAATATACACGAACAAACAAATAATAACTTTTAAAAACCAATGGTCCTATTCAATAGATGGCAGTGAAAGAATAAATAGTGATTATAGGCGACATCATTATGTCAAAATATGTTTTCGTTTCAAAATGAATATTTCATTTCTCAAATATCTCAAATTCGAATCGATGAAATCAATGTTTGCTTATTCTACTTTTTGTTTTGTTTATTCAATTATATAATTGAATTGATCACTCGTGTAACCAATAGATAATAATATGTGATTAAGGAAAGATCAATTAGTTTCGCTTTACTATATCGTATTATACAACTAAAACTACTTCTTATAGAAAGATTTACGGGGATTATTTTGTATTTTTATCCTATTCTTAGGCTTGACTTAAGAATAACGCCTACTCTGTCATAATAGGATATAAAAATTTTCTTAATTTAAAAAAATCGATATTTTCAGTAGAACGATGAATTTTCATGTAAACTAGTTCGATATCTTTTGAAGTTTAATTTTACATGGCAAGATTTCCACTATGTCCAATGACAGATGAAAAAATGCTATATTAAAATCCCGAGTAACTCAAATATAAATAAATTTTTTTTTAACTTTTTATCAAAAAAAAATGGACAAACACAATCAACAATATAGATTGTAAAGATTGAATATCATTCTGAAGTTCCCCGATATTTCTATTGTACCCGGTTATTGCAAAATAGAAAGATTACGTCGGAACACATCCATAGTGAATTACAGACACTTATCTGCAATACAAAAAAAACCAATAGGATGAGATTATGTGATTGTATTCATTATTTCGCAACTTTTTTTTACTACAAAATCTGGATTACAAATAAGCCTGTTCTAAAAGATATAAATCTATGAAAAATTGAATAGCCAATCTGAGCTTTCGTCACGATGAATTGTTATAACAGCTTGAAATGATAATAGAAAACTAAGTCCTACTTAAATAAATTAACAACTTCTGTCGCCTACAAGATGAACTTCAGCAACTAAATGCTATATTGAATATCTACCTCAAGAATCAGACTGTTCACAACAGAAGCTAAAGTCAACAAGTACACATTAAAGACTATCAACTTTACTTGACATATCCACTTGCATCATTACATTTTTCCTCTATCGGATACTTTATATGAATTCGAATTGAACAAACATTTTGAAATATCTCTAACAATGAACGAGTTTGAATTATAGGGGATGTCCCCGATTTGGTCCTAATTGGAAATATGTTCTCTCAATTGGGTCCTATCTTAATCAGACCCTATCTCAGTTCGGTCCCGTAATTATTTCTCGTTTCTATTTGAATAATATTAATTAAAATAATTCATGATTATATATCAAAGAGAAGAGAATAATTTATATCATAAAGAATAACAAACCAATCATAATTTCAAAATGAAATTTTTAGATTTAAATAGGGTGAGTATGAACATTACGGTACGCTTATTATATTTATATTTATAGATCACGAATAAACTGACAGGGACCGAACTGAGATCGGACCGAACTGGGGTAGAACCAAACTGAGATAGGACCCAATTGAGAGAACACGTTTCCAATTAGGACCGAATCGGGATACGACCGAATTATAGAAATATTTCTTGTTCAAATCATTCAAGTGCTACACAGTTTTATCTAATAAAGTCTTTTCTTTTGTTTCCTAAAGATCTTCAAATGAACAAACTTAAAATTCAATCCGTCAATTTCTAACGAACTAGGATTTTATTGAAATATCATAGTTCGATTCAGAGAATGCCCTACAAATACGTGTTAGCACATTAGATGCTCACACGAGTACATATCCGAATGTTGAACGTGTTTTTTCAAATTGGGAGAGCGAAAATTGGTCGAACGAAAATTGATCGCGGTTAATTGACCGATACGAAAAATTGGTGGAGAAACGTATAATAATATAATTAGTTTGTTTTTATCAAAAATAGAAGCGGATACTCTTCAGTAGAATTATGCATAAATTCTACCTTTATTGTGACACAATTATAGAATTACTCACACTCAAAACGAACAATTGACAAACAGAAGAGTAAAAATCAGGAAGACGAGCTGCAGCATGATCAGATAAATTCGTGAGACAATAATCAATAACATTTTGTGTAGCCTCGCTTGAATTAAGTGCTCAATGACGAATTTTTCCTTCAAATATTCGAATTTCAGTTGAAACGGGATTACCAGGATGATTATGATTATCGTCTTCGTGTAATAATGTTGTATGAGTACAGTTAGTGTGAATTCGTCCGTTACATTTAAATGTTCGAACATGTTTACATTTCCAATAACTTTTATCATTAGTGGTTTTATCGATAGTATAAGCGAAACCTTTACAAATTAACAAAGGTTTGTTCTTTTCTGTTGTACTGAATGTAAACGTTGACATTTGTGAAAAATAGTAGTGTTCCGTTTACATATATAAGTTTTAATATAATGTATTAAGAGTCTTTTAATCTAATCATTATTGGATCAAGTGAACTCTAGCTTATTGTGATGGATGTTATAAAAAAAAATGATAAGCTTATTTGAAGCAATCTAAACATATAACAATTCCCACATTTCAGACAAATATGTGCTCTCTTTGAGGAGTAATTTCTCTATGATCTGAAAATTCTATTTTTTATCGTTTAACTTATTAGTATTAATTGCAAGTTTACTTAGAAGATCCTTTTTTTAAAATTAAGCTCTAATTGTTTTTTTATCCCTACGAATTTTTGTATTGACCACTTTTCGTATCGGTCAATTTTCGTGTCGACCAATTTTCGTATCGGTCAATTTTCGTTCGACCAATTTTCATTCGAGCAATTTTCGTAGACCCTTTCAAATTCATACATAACACGAAGACAAATCTTCTTTTATCGGTCAATTCAAGCAACAAGTTAATATAAAATCGTATATTAAAAATATAATTTAAGATTTTAATTCTTTTTTTTTTATTGAAATGTGTATATATATGTTTATATAGAAAAAAAGAGAGAAGAAAAAGAAAAGATCTTGACTGATTAATTAATGAGAATGTGCGAATGTGTTGAACAATAAATGAAATAATGCACGCATTCTATCTAGAACAATTATTTTCACACAAGACGAACAAAAAGAACAAGCATGTATATGTGTGTTTTTTTTCTTTTTTCTTATGAGTAGCAAACAATCAACAAACACGCGTTAAGAGAGAGAGATAGAACAAGAAATTTATAGATCAAGATACAAAAACAGAAAAAAAAAGAAGTGAAAGAAAGCGAGCCTAGCTCTAAAAGAACATCAAAAATGTTTCTATCATCATTGTTTTGTATAGTAAACAAGACAATATTTTTTGTAATTGTAAAGTTGAGTAGCAAAGCGTAATGATAAATAGATGAGCACAAGCGAGAAGAAGAAAAAACAAAAGCGCAAGAGATCAACAATTACGTATGTCAAACGTTCGAGAAATAAACTTTGATTGATCGTGATTTAACTTATATATATATATATATTTTTTTTTGTGCGTTTTCTTTTATTTATTATTCTCGCAGACGACGATTATATAAGAATGACTATTAAAGATTAAATGATAAGAAGCAAAGAAGAAGAAAAAAAACTTGAAATCTATCAATTGTCTTTCCTTAATCATTTAGTTTATTGGTCACCGTCGTCAGGTTTTTGGGATTCCATTATTTCATTGGATGTTTCACCAACTTTTTCATTATTAACTGTTGCACTAGCTTCATTACTGCCACCACCTGTTGTCATGATTTCACTAGCATTGCTATCAGCGTTTGGTTTGGATTTCTCTTTAGGATCAGGTTTTTTATTGCCAACCTTCAACAACAACAATAAAATGAAATGCATGAGAGAAAGACTTTTTTTTCAAACTTACCTTAGCAGCACTACCGACTGGTTTCGGATGAGCGCTGTCAAGTGAACCTGTTTTCGATTTTGCATTCAATGGTAATTTTTGAGTTGACGGCTAGAAAATTAAAAGCTATTAATAGATAAAAATTCACAAAGGGATTCGATTGGCAACTAAATTGATATGAATTTTTATCAATTTATCTAGAGAGTTCTATTGTTTCGATTAGTTACCTTAGGAGGACCAGCTGGTGCTTTGTGTGTTGTACTTGCTTTCGACGTTGGTGCACTCCCTTGTGGTTTAGCACTCGTAACCTGAAATGTATATAAATAGCATTTAATATCGATCATTAGTTTTCAAGTATGAGAAAGATAGGAACAGGGAATTTGTGTACGGCTCATTAGAGAGAATAAGGCACGAAGCTAAAATAAATATTCATATGTTAGTTAAATGATGATTTGTTGTTGACTTTAAAAAACAAATCTACCAAACATTGAGATTCTGATGATTGAATTGGTGGAAGAATCTAATGAGAAAAGAAATGAGATGAGATTCGAAAGGAAAATATTTACTTGATAATTAGATAAAGGATAGAAATCATTTTGAAAAGATGCGATTCTTAACGGGTGAAGTTGTTTCTGATTGAGAAACTGAAAGAGTAAAATTTTACGGAGAAAATATAAATTTAATATACTCGTGGTTGATATGACAAATTCCAACAATCAATATGTGAAACAGGTTCAAACTTGAATAGAAAGTAGTTGACTTAAGATATTAAAATATCTAAAAATTCCTACATGCATTTGACGTTGTTTTGGTAGATTTTGTCTGTTGTTAATTTCATTTTTCGGAGTAGAAATAAAAATTGTTTCTTCACGAACTAATGATGGTTCTGGCATCTGAATGAACCAATCAACTTTTATATTACGAATTTCTTTCCCCATCCTATTTACTTTAAGTAATTTTCGTTTCGATGGTTTAATATTATCTCGCCAAGTATTAACTGATGATTTTGGATCAATAAAGGCTAAATTCTAAATTAAAAACAACCCAGTGAGCAAGACGAGTAGAGATTAATGTAAATATTGAAATTTTCATAGCAACTGCAGTTTGTCATTAACACTCTTCTTTTTTAGACTTTCCATGATTTCAGTAACATGCTTATGAAGCATATGAAAATGCTAACTCAGTTTTTTCGTGAATAACGACTATTCTTATACCTGCTGTTCAATTGACAATGAGCGTGATCTCGATGAGTCAATCTTAAAAAAGAAAACAAAACTCGTGTAAAGGATGTTTAAAAATATTATTTTGTTTCCTGACATGTTCATTCCAAGTATCAATCGTCGGTTTAACATGATTGAAATCAATCATTGATGTTTCTAGTTGTTTAGTATCGTTGGGCCAAGTACTTGTATGCATCTGTTCGTTTCGTTGAAAAGGTTTTCTTGAAAGATCATTCCAATTATCTACTGTTGGTTTGCCAATAATATTTATTGGTTGAGGGATATCAGTACCTGCCACTTTTGGTTTTATTGATTTCTAAAGAAAACGTTTTCGATATTAAAACTTAAAGTAAGAAAATTTATTTACTTTTGAATTCCAGGTATGAATAGCTGGTTTCGGATCAGTAAAAGTAGCTTGTTGATTTCGAGTTATACTTAGCGATCGATCTCGTTTGCTTGTTTGTTGACCGTTCCATGAATGAATTCTTGATTTAGCTTCAATATGAATCGGATGAGACTTGGAATGGGCCATGAAGTTATTTGTCTAAAAAATTAATTTGAATGAAACTAATTTTTTCAGAAGATTACAATAATCTTACGAGAGCATTTTGTTGGTGTTTAGATAACGATTTCTGAGATTGAAATGTATTTACTTTTGAATGAGCTTCAAAATGAATGGGCCGATCGAAAATCTATACATAAAGATTAGAACTAATTTTTATTAAAGTGTCATTCTTTTACTTCAACGGTATTTTGTGATGTTTTATATTGATCATTCCAAGTATTAAGACTTGGTTTAATATGTAATAGATCAATTGGTCGATTTAATATTGATTTTGATCGATGCAAATCAGTATTCTAAAAATAAAATCGAATTTGTGGTCTTGTTAATGAATATATAATACTTTGGGTGGTGGCTCAAGCCATGTATCAATTTTTGACTGAGTATCAACATAAATGAATTGTTGTTTGTCTCGAAATATTTCTTTTCGTTTTACAGTTACATTGTTATCATTCCAGGTGTTCACCTTTGGTTGTGCTTGAACATGAACTGGTTTATGCACAAGCTTGAAAAAGTAAAAATAGTATTTCGCGTAAAATTTGAAACAGCACAGAACCTACCTGAGATTTTGTTGATGGAATCGACTGTTTCCTTGAATTAGATTGCCAAGTATCTAAACGCGAGCGAGCAACGACATGTAATCTTTGCTGCCTGACCTAGAATAGGAGTTATAAATTGCAGATTAGCTATTGTAGCTTTATCTTTATTACAATTGGGGCGCTCGATTGACGAATAGATTCTTTTATGTTTTGCCAAAAATCAATTTTCGATCGGGCAACAACATTTATCGGACGATTGAATAGGTTTTTCTATAAAATGTAAAGAAAGTTCATTGTAGAACGGTTCGATGTTTTATTTCTATTTACCTTTTTCACAATGCGTCCTTGTCGTACTCCTGACCAGGTATCAATTTTACTTTGAACATTTACATAAACTGGATTATTAATCTAACATAATAAAAAAATACTCTATTCAAGATCAATCAGATTTATTTTAATACAAACCATTCGATGATTATGATCAGTGATCGATTGAGTTTGTGCTCTCCATGTATCAATTTTTGAGTGGGCTTGAACATGTACAGGCTGATCAATCGATTTCGAAACTGATGCAATAGGTTTGTCTCTTTCATCACGCCATGTGTCAACGCGAGAACGAGCATTGATTTGAATCGGATGATTTATTAGTTTCTGCAAGAAGAAACAACAGGCTACCGATCAGGAAACGCAATTTTATAATCAATACCTTTGAATTCGTATTCATTTGATTTGTCGTTTGTTGCCAAGTATCAATTTGAGGTCGAATATTGATATATAACGGTTGATGAGAAATCTATTTGGAAAAATAAAAGTAAAACCTGAAGGAAAACATAATTGATTTACTTTGCTTGTATTTCGGTGGGCTTTATTATTTGTTGATAACCATGTATCTATGCGTGATTGTGGTTTGATATAGATTTTTTCATGAATAGTAGGAACACTTTTTGAACGTTGAACTACATTCTTTTTTGTTTGCCAATTATCAATCATTGAATGAGCATGAATATAAAGTGGCTGGTGAAGAATTTTCGATCTAGTATTAGATGCTAACACAGAAAAATTCCAATTATCAAGACGACTTCGTCCTAGGATGTGAACTGGTTTATTAATCTAAATAAAACAATTGAATTAAACAGAAGATTAGAATAATTATGAAGAAGTCGTACAGGTGATAGGCTACGGCGTCGCTTTCGATAGACAGATTCGTTTTCCCATGTATCAATTCTACTTTTGCCGTGTATTTGAACTGGACGATGAATCATAGGATTTCTTATAAATGGAGATGAATGCTCAACGGTTTGCCAATTATCAATTCTACTTTGTCCAATAATATGAACCGGTTTATGAATCTAAGCAAACAAAATTAATCGAAACTATTTCTACAGAAAAATCTTTGTACCTGTGCAACACTGTCAGCTGTACGTTTTAATGGTAACGATTGCCAACTGTCGATTTGACTTTTAGCTTGAATTTGAATCCGACGATTCATTTGTGAAAATCTACTAGTCTGAGGCTTTCTACCCATTTCTTGCCAAGTATCAATTCGACTTTGACCGATAATATGAACTGGCTTATGGATCTAAATCATCAATACCAATGATTAAGTTTATTTTTAAAAGAATGAAGTTCTCTTTTTTTACCTCTGCAACACTTCGAGCTCGCCGGCGTGTAGTTAGCGTTTGCCATGTATCTATTCGGCTTTTAGCGTGAACTTGAATAGGATGATTAATAAGCTGATTTTTACGAGAATGTGGTATTGTTTCAGATGTACGCCAAGTATCCACACGATTTTGGCCACTAATATGAATGGGCTTTTGAATCTAGTAACAATCGAAATCAATTTAATGCTTGGACAATGATAAAATTCATACATCAGTAGCACTATGAGCGCGTCGACGTGGTAATAGTGTTTGCCATGTATCTATGCGACTTTGACCAACAATATGAACTGGTCTATCAATCTTAAAGATCAACGAAATCAGATGATCTTTGTTATTAAAAAGAAAAAATCAAAAATACATACTACTTCTGTAGGACTATAAGCACGTGAGCGGGACGGTTGTGTTTGCCAAGTGTCTATACGACTTTTAGCTTCAATTTTAATTGGCTGATGTAGTACTTGTTTTTTATTAGGTTCAGAAATGTGTGCAGATTTTCGCCAAGTATCAATTTGGCTGTGTGCATGAATAACAAAAGGTTGAGATACCTAAAGGCCAATAGGTTAGATAATCGTTATTTTTAACTTTATCAACTCTTACTTCGTGAGCACTATGTGCTCTTCGTCGAGGTATTGATATTTGCCAAGTATCGATTCGACTCTTAGCCTCTACTTGAATAGGACGATTTACTATATGATGATGGCTCGTGGGAAGTTTTCTTTCTGCTGTTTGCCAGGTATCCACTCGACTTCGACCAATAATATGAACCGGTCTATGAATCTAAAATAGCAAAGGTTTTGTTTTTAACAATTTACTTAAATATTTGAAGAATTTTTGTACTTCAATAGCGCTGTGAGCTCGTCTTGACGATGTTTTTGTCTGCCAAGTATCAACGCGACTTCGGCCAATTATTTTTAATGGTTTATCAATCTAAATTAAAATTTTATCCATAAAATTTTGGCTTTTATTTCTTCAAAACTATGAAATTACTTGAGTTACAAGTGGTTGATGTTTAGGATGAAATGAACTTTGCAGCCAATTATCTACCTTACTTTTCCCAATCACTTGCATAGGCTTATCAAAAATCTAAATGAATAAGCCTGTCAGGTTTTTAAAAATAAAAAAGTTCGTGCCCTACTTTCGAAGTATGTGATCGACTATATGGTTGAGATTTTTGCCATGTATCGGTTCGACTTTTGCCTTCAATTAGTATGGGGCGATTAAAAACCTATAGAGGAAAGACAATAAAACGTCAGAACTTATTTCATTTCAGGAAAGAAATTTTGAATAAAACAATACAAAGAGTTTTGAATCAATAAATAATTAGAAAGTTCTGACAATTTCAAGAAAAACGACCAGATCTTTCTTGAGGTCATTATCTTTCGAATAAAAAAAAGAATCCAATCTAATTCGATGAAACTTGAAGACTATTGTCTGAATAGGGCAATATTTAGATCAAAACTATTTACGCCTACGATATGAACATAAATTTTTTGTTAAATCCTACTTTTTTTAACTGTAATTTTTGTTCATATTGTTGTTTATTCCATGTATCAACACGACTTCTAGCATGAATAACCAGAGGCTTATGAACCTAATAGGCAATTTTATAATGAATACGGATAATTTTGTAGTTTTCGTTTTTACCGTTCGTTTGATTTGATTTTGATGAATAGGTTCTTGCCGTAACCATGTATCTATTCGACTTTTTCCTTGCATTTGTATTGGTTTATGAACAGCCTTTATACAAGAAAAATGTTTTTTCTTTAAACAAATTTAGTTTCGTTTTATTCTTTTCATACGCGTTGAAAGCGGGATGTTGGATGTATAGAATGTGTTTGCCATGTATCAATTCGACTGTGTCCAATTATATTTAATGGTTTATGAACAATCTAAGATAATCAATTGATACTCATACATAGCGAAAAATCAATCTACCTGAAAAGCACTATGAGCTCTACGTATTGGCGGTTTTAACCCAGCATCAATTTTACTTTTACCAGTCACTTGTATTGGCCGATGAATAATCTTTAAAGAAAAAAACAAAAGACAGCTTTCAGTGAAATTTAATTGGAAAAAAGCGTCGTACTTGAGCACTAGTACTTCGTGAACGAGACGATAATTTTAGCCAGGTATCAACACGTATTTTACCTTGGATTTTTATTGGTTTATGAAATATTTTAATTTTTGATTGCGATTCAATATACGGTCTTCTTAGCCAAGTATCAATTTTTGGTTTAGCTTCAACACGTGGTGTACGATTTAGAATATTTGAAGGCATGCTAGCTTTCAATTCATCATTCCATACATCGTATGGTTTTGGATGATAGAAAATCTTTCGATTTTTCAAACGACGTCGTCTTAATGGTGGCCGATGATAATTTCTATTCCAACAATCAATACGAGCGACAGCATAATGAATTTTTTTCCAAGCAATTCTTTTTCGTATCATTTTGTTTGAAACAATTTTTAAAATTTCCTGACGACTTCCCGGAATATGGATTGTTAATTCACGCCATAAGATTGTTGGTGGTTCTTGAGAAATAGCACGAAAATGTTTTACTTTTCCTTTTTCTATCGGCAATTGAACACTCTTCGGACGGATACGTTGATCAAGTTGATCTACTGTTGAATATTGAATTGTATCATCAACATATTCATAAACAGCATGCAAAGCTCGATTAAGCAGTAAATATTCTATAGATCCTGTTGATGCCTGAAATTAATTAAACTGTAAATTGAAAGAAAATTAGAGAAAGTATTGTAATACTTGATGTAATGATAATTGTGTTGAATCGTAAGGTAAGGCTTGTTCAACAGGTTGATCTTCTTGAAATTCGTTTGATGAATACATCGCATACTGACGAATAAAATCAAGATCATATGCAATTGAACGCAGCTAAAAAAAGAAATACGTTAATATCGTCTTTTTTGGTGGTCGGTTTATTTTACGCTTGCAAAAGATAATTGACTTGATTGATATTCTAATGTTTCTTCAGGTGGATTACATTCATTAAATTCGTTAGTTTCATATGTTGCATATTGTTTTTCAAAATTAGAATCATGCACAGCTGCCTGAAGCTATAGAAAGAAACAAGACAAGATAAATAATTATAGTGACTTCGGTTTAAAATCTACTTGTTTAAGAGAATATTTTGTCGGTTCACGGTCCAATAAATTTTCAAGTTCAATGAATTCATTTAATTCATTTGATATGTATTCTGCATATTGTTTATCAAAATCGAGATTATAAACATTGGATTCAAGCTAAAATAATCGAGTATCAAAAAAATTCATGGTCAAGATTTTTTCTTTACTTGTTTAAGAGATAATTGCGTTGGATAATAATTTAGTGTTTGTTCCGGTTGATGATATTCATGGAATTGATTGGTTTCATAAAGTACATGTTGTTCGTCGAACTCTAGTTTATATGGTTCCGATTGAAGCTAAAATGCCAGAGATAAAAAGTTTTGACCGAAGACTCTTTTCTTTATAGTACATACTTGTTTAAGAGAATAGATCGATGGATCCCGAGGAACTGTTTGTTGGAGATGCTGATGTTCATTGAATTCTTTTGGAACAAATTCTGCATATTGTTTTTCATAATCAATTTCATATGTTTTTGGTTGAAGCTAAAATATAAAAGGTCGACTTTTATTCGCTATTGAATTGTCAATATACTTTTTTAACAGAATATTTTGTCGAATCTCGACCGAGTGTCTGTTCTGGTCGATGAAATTCATTAAATTGCTTAGCTTCATGAAGTGCATACTGTTTTTCAAAATCAAGTTCATAGATATCTGACTGAAGCTAAAAATATACGAGATAAAATTTGATAAGCGAATGTTTTTCCTTTGAACATACTTGTTTAAGAGAATATTTCGATAAATCATGATGTGGTACTTGTTCCATTTTTTGATTTTCTTCATATTGATTCGCTTCATGGAGTGCATATTGTTTTTCATAACCAAGTTTATATATATTAGATCGAAGCTAAACGAGAAAAATTCACAAGTTGAATAGCTGGGAATATGCGTACCTGTTTAATGGGATATATCGATGGATCACGAACTACCGTTTGTTCGAGTTTTTCATGTTCATTAAATTCTTTTGGAACGAATTCAGCGTATTGTTTTTCATAATCATCTTCATAAATTGTTGGACGAAGCTAAACATACAGGCAAATGATACTTTGTTTTGCAGTCTTTTAATTATCGTGTTCGCCGTCCGTCAAATTAGAAACAGACTTCCTTTAGTATAGATGCTCAAATTTTAACATCGTGTCTTTCATTTTTGTAAGAAACAAGAATGAAAATGTGTCGGACTCTCATATTCAACCTTGAGAAGCAATGCATTTCAGAATGAAATAAATAATCGAGATGATTTACTTTCTTAATGGATAATTTTGTTGATTCATAATCTAGTGTTTGTTCGAATGTTTCAAATTCATTATATTGTTTTGAACTAAGTTCAGCATATTGTTTTTCGTAATCGAGACGACACGTACTTGAACGAAGCTGTACAAAATCAAAAATATTATTTTAAATAAAATAAAAATCAATTACTTTTTCAGTAGGTAATTCGTCTGAATCATATTTCGCTGCTTTTTCTGTTGGAATATATTCGTTGAGTTGTTGTGCGGTAAAAGTTGCATATTGCTTTTCATAGTCGAGATCGTATATACTGGAATCAACCTTCAACAAACGGTTTATGATTATTTCATATTGATTTTTATATTACTTTTTTTTTAGGATAAGTTTCTGGTGGTTTTGTCACAGCTTGGTCGAATTCAAGTTCAGTTAAATATCGTTCTTCGCCTAAATAATAGCGTACTGGTACTGGCGGAGATGTAGTTACCTAGAAAAAAAAATAGAGATTTTTATAGTTATTTCATAAAATGCTTTGTTTTTTCAGAAAAATCTCAAGTTTCATATCCAGATTGAAAAGGCTAACTGTTAGACACTATATTAATAATAATTACTTGAATAGGATCTTCATACTGTTCTATAATGATCTGAGGAGGTTTCTAAAGAATATAATATGCGCATATGATGACAATGAAGAATTAAGATAGATCTTCTCACTTCAATTTGTCGAGTCGTCGTTGGAGGATTAATGCGTCTTTTATTCAGAGTACGAACTTCAGTAATCTAAATAACATAACATTTTCTGTTTATTTTAGTATAGTTAAATTTTTCTTCTACTAACTTGAGGAGGTTGTGGTTCAATAAATTCCCTTACAATTTCAACTTGTTGTACAGGTTTTTCAATAATCTAAATACGTATAAGAGATATAGAATAGATCGTACAAAAAAAGAAACATGCAGATTCTTACTTCAACTGTTTCAGTGGGTAGTTTTTGTATTTCTCGAGTAACACTAACAGTTTGACTTGCTTGTTCAATTTCAAAGGGTCTAGTAAAAACTTCGATTCTTGCTGCCTCCTCTTCTTCAGGTTGATCAATATTTGTGCGAACTTGAACAACACCTTGGTGCTTTGTATAATTTCTATCATATGTTTCAATAATGGGTTCTTCATTGCCTTCAAATCTCAATCCCTTATTATAAATTTTAAGATCTCCACCTTTAGATCTATATCCACGATTCCATGAGTCAACTTTTGCACCAACAATTTTTTTTCCTTGTATTACTTTTTTTGATTTTACTGGAAGTTGCACCGTTTCTTTTTCAATTCTAGTCACTGGTCGCGTATCAATATACTGATAAGAGAAAAAAGTTATTGATGATATGATAGAACTTGTTTTTCTTAAGAGTGTTTACATACTTGTACACTTGATGGAATCTCTGTTTCAATTATTTCGCTTTGTTGTGGTGCAACGACAGTATCATAATATTCAACGAAAATCTCACGTGACGGTTTTGATATTGAATTACTTCGCACTTCAGTCTGTTCAAATGTAACTTGAGGTCGTCGTTGTTCGACAATAACTTCTTCCGTTTGTATTCTCTAGAGAAATTTGAAAGATGCATTCAAAATAGAAAAAGTAAAATTTCATTTGTATTTACCTGAACGGGTTCTTTTTGTTCAATAATTGTTGCAGTAGCTTTTGCACGTGGCCGACGTCGAACAGTACGAACTGTTTCAGTGATTTCAGTAGTAGTCAAAGGTACAGGGGGTGGTGGTGGCGGCGGCGGTGCCAGTATAGGTTCAACAGGCTGAGGAGTTGGCAGACGATGATGGTGGTGATGATGCTCTGTAACGAAAACTTGTGACTGTGGTGGTGGATGAGGAATACGATAAGCATGCATGATTGGTTGTGGCTGTCCAAATATTGTAGGCACTGGAATAGGCTGTTGTTGTTGCTGTTGATAAAAAATAATAGGTACTGGTGGTGGTAGTAGTGGTGGAGCAGTAGCAACTGGAAATACCATTGGAATACTCATTTGAATTGTTGGCGTCAAAGTCTATCAAATGAAAAGAGATTGTGAACAAAGTTGACATGAATTAAAATTTTCGAAAATATTTCTCAGACAAACAAGCGCATTAGTTGCTTTTTCTTGTTTTCATAGAAATTAAAATTCAACGAATCGATATACACTTCGAAAGTCTTACCCGAGATATTTCATCTTGTTCTATAGTTGCACGTTCATGATGAACTGGAATAATCCGTTGTTTCAGTACATATTGTTTACTGAGAGCGCTAAAATCATCGTCATCATAATGTCTTTTAAATGATAACGGCAAATACGAAGGAGAAGTTTCATTTGGTACACGAGTGAAAAATTCCTCATTATCATCATATTGTGACATTGACACTATTGATGGTGATTGTATTTGATGAAGACTAAGTTGTTTGGATGCACCAGTTAAAAGATATTCTTGTAAATCATTAAAATGAACACGACGATGAAGCATTCTTGTGTTTGTTGGTGTCTTAAAAAATTAAATTTTAAGCGAATTTATAAAGAAAATTTCATTGTCAATACCTCGCCGTCATTATCTATTGTTTGTGTATAATGAAGTGCATGATTTGTTTCATGGGAATTCAATAATGGTAATGGTTTAGTCGAAATAATATGATGTATATGCCGATAATCATTGGTAGACATTATTATGCGATAATGGCAGAAAATAAAACTGTTCTCAAAATGAATATGCATAGAAGGGGAGAAAAAGAATAAACAAGCAACAAAACATATCAAATGTTGCCATCAGCAACAATATTAGACCACCTATGGAGTAATAAAATAGGCAGAACATTGAAAATTAAAATAAGAAAAATAAGAAAAGAAATCATAATGAGCCGTACACAAGTGAGAAGAACAGAAAAAGCGAGATAATATGAAAATATCTTAGTGTGATTATGATCAATTATAGTCGATGAACCGATATTTTCGATTTCGACTAATGATCAATGATCAGTGGGATCGTAGAGAAAATATTTATTTTATGTTTTACTATCTCACCGTGGTGCCTGATGTTCCATTGGATGTTGATGGCCGATTGGCACTTGTTGAGCATTGGTTAGTAACTGCAGTCGATGAATTAGTTGTTGTGGCTGGTCTTGTAGCTAAAGAAAACAATATTGATCGTTCATTTCTTATACTAAGATATGAATTTTACCTGTAGTACGTGTATGAGATGACGGACGTTGTTGTGTAACCGTTGTTTTACTTGCTGAAGTAGATACACGTGATGCAACAGTTGATCCTGGTGCATGTGAAGAAGCACCAGCGGTACCGTTGGAAGCAGCTTTAGCTGGGGGTCTAGTTGAAATTTGTGTTGGTCGAACATCTGTTTTAGTAGTTGAACTAGCAGAAGCTGCTGCTACACCTGTTGCCGATGCGCTGCTACCTTCAGGAGCTGTTGAAAGTATTGTTGTTTGTTGACCAGATGTAGTTGCATCTGGAGTTTTATTAATTGTTGATGGACGCGTGAGTTTTGTTGTGGATGGTTTTATTGTTGATCGGGCTGCCACTGCTGTTGAACTCGCTGTTGGTTTCGGCTTTGCTGCTGTTACCGCTGTTGCAGAAGTGGTAGCTTTGGGTTGAACATCACGCTAAATCAACTTATGAAAGCATTGCAATATTTAGTAAATTAGAATGCTTACAGTTGGTTTTGAACTTGCTGATGCTTCATGTGAAGGAGAAGTTGGTGTTACCTTTGGTTTGTGAGAAGCAGCTGCAGTATTTGTTGTTGTTGTTGTTGTTGTTGCGGGTTGAGTAGTTTTACGAATTGTAGCTGGTGGTTTTGGTTCAGTCGATTTTACACTTGAAGCTGTTGGCTTTTGTTCAATAGATTTTGATGTTGTCGCGGCATGTGGTTTATGCTCCGTCGATTTTGATGTCGCAGCAGCAACAGCAGTCGGTTTATGTTCGGTAGATCTTAACGATGATGCAACAGTCGTTGGTTTATGGTCTGTAGGCTTTGTTGTAGCAGCTGCCGCAGATGATGGTTTAGTCTTTGTGGCAACACTTGATCGTGCAGGATGAGCAGCACTTGCAGGTTTCTTTGTTGTTGAAGTAACTTTACTAGGCGATACCGCGACTGGAACAATTGGTGAAGATACTACTGGTAAAGTTAAATCTAAATTCGGTGTAGTAGCAGATGATATTGCTTGTTGAACATTTTCAGATTCTCCTGTTGGTGAAGGTGTATGGACATCATCATTCGATTGAGTAGATTCTACAATTTGTTGTGATGATGCTTGTAAAATTGGTGATGATGCTACTTCTGCTTCTATATCTGAGAATGGTGGTGGTGATTGTCGACCTGGTGTAGTTGCTGGTGATGGTGGAGTAGCAAGATCAATTTTAGCTGCTAGTTCGTTGGCAGCATTGTCAACCTCATTACATTTATCATTAAAACGACGATCTTCATCAGTAGCATCCGTTGTTTCTTCATTTTCATTCAATGGAGTTGATGCAATCACATTTTCTTCATCATTTGAAAGATTTTCTTCATTATTATCTGATAAAACATTCTCATTTATGCCTTGTTCTGCTTCTTCATTAACAGGTGAAGAAGTAGCTACAGCATCTTCCTTAACGGGTGAAGTCAAAATTTCAGGTTGTTCTTCTTTCGCTGGTGATTGTAAAATTTGTTCTTGTTCTTTAACTGATGAAATCAGTAGGTCAGGTTGTTCATCTTCGATTGATGATTGAACATGTTTTAATGCGTTATTAACCATTGCATCTATTTGTTCTTCAACGGCTGGTGATAGAGTACCAAAATAGAGTTCTTGTTTAACTGGTGATTGTAAATCTTCTTGATGTTGTTCGACAACGGGCGAATGAATTTGTTCTGGTTGCTCGACAACTGGTGATGCAAGATTTTCAGTTTGCTGTTCTTGAACAGGCGATTGGACCACTTCGTGCTGTTCTTCTACAGGTGAATGAATTTCTTCTTGCTGTTCTTCTTGAACTGGTGATTGAATATTTTCCAGTGGTTCATTTACAGGCGATGGAATAATTTCACATTGCTGTTCTATAACTGGTGATTGGATTTGTTCCTGTTCTTCTTTAACAGGTGACGCAAGAATTTCTTGTTGTTCTTCTTCTTCTTGAGCAGACGTATGAATATCTTCTAGATGTTCATCTTTAACTGGTGAGGAAATATCAGCATGTTGTTCATCAACGGGTGTTGAGATAATTTCATATTGCTGTTCTATAATTGGTGATCGTAAATCTTCTTGATGATGTTCAACAACTCGTGATTCAAGAATTTCAGTTTGCTCGTCCTTAATAGGTGACGAAACAAATTCATCTTGTTGTTCTGTCACTGGTGATTGAACTTCTTGATGCTGCTCTTGTACAGGCGAAGAAATTTCTTCGTGATGTTCTTCTTTAACTGGTGATTCAATATTTTCTTGATGTTCTTCTTTAACTGGTGATTCAATATTTTCTTGATGTTCTTCTTTAACTGGTGATTCAATATTTTCTTGATGTTCTTCTTTAACTGGTGATTCAATATTTTCTTGATGCTGTTCTTGTATAGGCGATGAAATTTCTTCATGATGTTCTTCTTTAACTGGTGATTCAATATTTTCTTGTTGTTGTTGTTGTTGTTCATTAACAGGCGATGGAATAACTTCATATTGTTGTTCATCAACAGGCGATGGAATAACTTCATATTGTTGTTCTTTAACAGGTGATTGAATATTTTCATCTACTTGCTCGTATTCTTTAATTGACGAATGACCTTCTTCATGTTGCTCTTGTCTAACAGGAGTTTGAATATCTGCATGTTGTTTATCTTTAACTGGTGATTGAACATATTCATGTTCTTTGCTGATAGGTGATGATAAATTTTCATCGTGTTGTTGTTGTTGTTGTTGTTGTTTGACTGATAATTGCAAATCATCTGGTCGTTTGTTGATTGGTGATTGAGCTTCTTCGCATGTTTCATCTTTGACAGGCGAGTGAATATCTTCTTTGATTGGTGATGCTAAAATAATATCTTCTGATGGATTATTAAAACTTGTTAAATACGATTGTTGTTCATCTTTAACTATGTCTTCATTTGTACTACCAGAAAAATCAAGAGAACTATCATTTCTATCATTCTGTGGTGACAATGTATCATTCAATGGACCAGTTGATGATGGCGTAAAAGATATTCTGTCTGCATGCGTATGATCCGATACAGGTGCATTAGAATCAAGTTCAAGTAAGAGTGTACTTTTGTCTGTTACATCAGCATTGCTATTTGAATTAAAATTTAATGACGAATCTTCAGATTCTTCATGTTTGCATGTTGAAAATTCATGATAATAAGCTTAAAAAAAAGAAAAGAATATTAAATTGATTTTTTTTTCTTTGGTTTATTTACCTTTCTCATTTTCGTTTGTATCCACCGGAAAAAGATTATTGTTTAATGAAAATGTTTGCGATTCATCTTGATTGTTACCATTAGTTCCATTATGATGTTCATCCTTATCACTGTCATTACGTGAATGATATTCTTGTCCATGAATTTCATTACCATTATGACTACCGAATGGATCAGTATCGTTCAATGATCGATTTTCAAAAAAATCATTAAATTTTTGTTTGGTTGGTGTTGTTACTGTTGGACATGATTGCTGCTGCTCAAATGAAGCAAATGGGTCATCGATTGGGCTTCGATCCGACATGAATGCTTGTTCGAATCTTCGTTTAATTCGTAATCTAGAGTATTGAACAAATCAGAAAGTCAAATATTAAATAATGATGACAATAATGACCTTTGTTAGGCGACTTTTTTTGCTTCAATTCAATATTGTACAAAAAAAGAAAAGAAAAAATTGACAAACAAACAAACAAACAGACAGTCAGTCAGAAAGAAGGACACCTCAGGCTCTTTTTTTCTTCATATATAACAATCTTTATGAATGGGATCAAATAACCAAACGGACACGATGATAAATGGTGGACTGGGCGGAATCGGTAATGGTAATGACGTTCGCTATAAATCAAGAAATATATTGAGGAAAAAAGAAAGAGGAAGAAAAAAGGGTAGAACAGTTCAACAACTGTGCGCAACTATTCATGTATCAGCTTGTACAATAAAATACATAAAGATTTGTGACTGGAACCAGATGCTTTTATTTAAAATATAAGAATTACGTACATGAATAATAAGAGAAAGAAAGGATTGAATCAGAGACATGAGTAATGCTCATTTCTTTTTCGATGTTTTATAACACATTAGTAATGTCTTTTCTTTTTCACTATTTTGTTGACCTTTTGAACTTATCAACATACGTTTAGATAATCTAACAGTTGATTAGTAAACACTTGTTTTTCTTAGTCAATTATCAGTAGTATTTTTTTCATGAGCTAAACAACTGTCTTCATTCATCAAAATAGTGAGAGAAAAAAGGCTTTTCTATCTATTAGATCTAACCCATCGGCTATAAACATAATTGTACAAGATAGAAAAGACCTGCTGCTTTTGTTATTTATCATATATACTCAAATATTGCTGCTGTATGCATACATTGAGGAGAATCAATTAACCTAAAAGTGTTAAATTATCTATCACATTGATTTAACCCTACATAAAAATAACAAAACTACTCGACTATTAAGACTATGACGACATGAAATCTCACCGTATAATTTTTGTTGAACAAGATGACGAATGTCATCAATGTATACATATCTATTGAAACAACATGCTCTCGATCTTCGCTCATTCTTTCTTATTCATTTCAACATCTGCCGTCAATGAGCCGATCAATTGCCTATTCGAGAGTCGTCTTTTTCTTCATCTCAATCTAATTGTCGAAAAGAGACAAGGAAAAGTGGCGACAAACGTTCAATTGTACAGACAATTTCCGTTCTTTATACACGTATTAAAAAAGGGATTACAAATTGTTTGTCTAAGATTTTCGATAAATACTCTATGACAATTAATCATTAAATCACCTATATAATATCAAAGAAAAAGAATGAGTAAATCTTACCAAAGTGTCAAACTCTAAAAAAGAAAGAATAGAATAGAATAGAATAGAATAATTCATAATCGAACAGCTCTTTGATTTCAAATTATCGACGGTATTCCAGCAATCATGTTAGTGTTTTCTAATTCTTTCGTCTTTTTTTGTACTTGTTGTCGTTTCTCTCCTTTTCTATTTTCTTTGCTTCTGCATAACTCAAGAATGACTCAACGTCAGCCGATTTATGCAAAAAGCAGCATTGTCGCTTTTGCTTGCCCGACTCATTTTTTCTTCTTCTTCGTCGTCTTTCTTTATTTCACCCTGTATTGTTGCTGCTATTACTACTGTTGCTGATGGCGCTGCCACACGGATGGATACTGCTTGATTTCCTCTATCAGACACGCACGAAGTGTAGAAGAAAAAAGAAAAAGCAAGAGCTACAACTCTCTCTCTCTCTGTCTCATATAAACAGAAAGCCTAATGGAAACTTATCATCTGATACTAAAGAGAAAGAGAAAAAAGAATGAAGTTGAGAATCATTAAAAACTTCAACATGACCTCATGTTTCTCTATATGTTAAAGACATCAAAGCTAGAATAGCCTTTTGCTAAACGATAAATATCATTTAGTTTTTTAGGAAACAATCAAAATAACTGTACAACGAACGCGTATAGATATGTAAAGAGGAGAAAAGAAGCGAAGAATAACAAAGACAGACGGCAGACGTTACAATCTCGTCTCTCATTCATTCTATCTATAGAATATATTTACATGATTTAGAAGAACAAATGATGAAGCGAAACTAGTTAGTAATATTTTCTTCTTCTTCTTTTCCCTCACTTTCTCTCTCCCCCCTCTCTCTCTCTTTATTTAGTTTTCTATTAGATGAAATGCAAAAAAAGTCTAACACGAAAATCTCATGAGAAATAGATGATGAGGGTACAGATCGACAAACGAGAATACGAATGAAATTAAATATACTCCCTCTTGTCGTCTTTCTCTCTCTTCTCTGTTATTTTTTCATTCCTATGTCTCTAGTGCACAATGGAAAGAGTTAAAAAGATAGGAGTCGAACAAAAATCTTTACAATTTCAATATGCATCCTTAGAAATACGATTAATTTCTAATAACAACAGTTAGTTTTGTATTCTGTTTATTTTCTTCTATGATAAACAATTAAATCGATCTTGCTTACGGTCTTTTTTGTTCATTTTTATCGAAATTATACCGTTCACTATCGGAAAACACAATCAACAGTAACGAACAAACGTGTTGAGTGTAATAAACGAGAAGAATAGCGAGAAAGAGAGAGAGAGAGAATTACTCACTACGATTTTCTTTCTCGTTTCAGCATTATCCATTCATTATGCGGTGGTCAGTAGATGTCGCCGTTTGTTGAATATATAGAAAATTCACCTGTGGAACAGCATATAGGGAAAGATTCTAATGAATATTTTCATTGTCAACTTTGATTTCCATCAAATGAATAACATGCATAATTTGAATAGTTATTTTATTGATCATGGATATACGTTTTTGTTGATCTAATCTTATTCAATCATTGTAAATAGTCGACTTTCTTTCGACAGTGCAGTCATCATTATAAAGGTGGCCTCGATAGAAAACAAGAAAATGCGATTAACTGATATTTATTGACATTACATTCTGGGATCAAGAATAATCATCGAAATATTCTCGCGTGTTACCAAGCTACTCAAATTTAATTATACCTCTTCATTTAATGTGGGAGTTTGAATAATAGTTTTACTTTTAACTTCATAGTTAGAAATCTAATCAAAATCAGTTAATGAAATAGAAAAATGTTTTATTAGATCGTAGGAAAGATGCTATCAATGGGTTTGAATCACTTTCTTGTTTTTTCTTTCAATTAATGGTATAGATTCGTTAGTTTCAACAAATTTCCCATGCTATCTAGTATATAACATAATTACAAAATATCTTAGTAGATTGGATTGTTGTTATTCAAGATATTTTTTGATCAAAATCGGATAATTGCTTTTAAAATATATTTTTTCAGCTGATTAGCAGAACGCAAAACAAAATAAAAATTCCTAGTCGTCAGTATTTTGAGACATGACGCGCTGTTGGATTTCCCTACGGTATCATAGGCAGCTAGTAGGGATTGAAACTACAGAATATTAACGGAGAGCATTAGATCATCGCTATATCAGAAATAAATGATAGTATTGACATAAAAAAACAGAATTTCTGTCCGAAGTAAAAAAATGGTTTATCTTGAAGTACAAAAACAAAACAAATTCAATAGACAACATTGATTATTTCGCGAAAAAACAACAACTAACGACAAGAATGAAAGCGCTCACAGGAAATATCCACTTATTTTTCGGGTCGATAAAAATGCATCTAGCTAGAAATAGAATTAGCATTCTTGCTCTTTCTAATAATAAGTTTAGATTTGTTTTCTCGAAAACTATATATTGAACAATAATCAATAGATTTTTCTATGAAGAAGTCAGTTCATGTTGTTTTTCATATTTATTTCTTTAGTTCAATTCATTTAAACAAAACTTGCAAGCCTCTCCGTTTGGGAATTGTTTGATAGAATATTAGTTATTCTCTCGAGCAATCGATTTTCAATTTAATACATTGTCTTTCCTGAAAATTTTCTCTCGCATACCTGGTTGTATAGAACATTCATTTCTATTCAGAACTAAAGAGTATTTGATCAAAATTTCAGCGGACCTTGTAAAATAAATAAAGTTAGTTTCATAAATAAAGCGACCGAAATGCTCTATTGATGTCCTGCTACGTATTCAATTCTAATGATTTGTTGTCACTGAAACCAATGCTCATGGTTAAAGAATTCTGTTTCATGGGAATTGGTCGCATTTCATCAAAATTTACAATGCAATTTAATGGAAATCAAATGCAAGCCGTAGATCACAATGCATGGTTTCCTACGGCACCTAACTTAATTTGAATAATACACTTCTAGATTTTTATAAAGCAAACACAACAATTATTAAGAGTAACGTAATTAGTTACTTTGCATGACTAAACCAAAGAATTTTATTTGTACCGTTGGTTTCTATGTCAATTGACAATCATTCAAAAGTATTTCAAATTCGATTAATTTGAACCGAAAGAAAAAAAAATCGACTAAAATACTATTCTTATACAATAACTGTTGTGAACATTCTGAATACATATTTCAAAGAACAAACAAAATGCAAAAGCTCTGATTCGAATAAATTGCTACGAGCAAAGATTTTTATGCTAAACATTTTACGTTATAGGTTCTTTGGAAGAATCAACACTATGAAGAATATTTTGTATACAGGATTCCGATGATGCATTGGATAGAATTTGATTTTGTTTAAGTTTGCGTTTAAATAGTTTTTTTCTAAAATTATCAAAAACATTTCCTTGGCGTAAGTTTTTTTTGCGTTTCATCATTGGCGATAAAGAGAAATATTCATTCTTAAAACTCTCATGCTGTTGCCACGAATTTGAGCTAACTGTTTGATTGGGAAATTCTATCATTGATATATTTTTAAAATTATTTGATTGTGATCTCGACGAAATACTATTCGATGAATCGCATTGTTCTGGTTGAGTCCCATTTGATTCCATGTATTTGATTTTTGTGCATAAATACTTCAAAAATGACGATTGAATCTTGTCAAATGTTGTTCGATTTCCTGAACATAATAATAGGGGTTCATTGTCAAACGTTGTATGATACTGAAGAATAACAATACTTCGTGTATCTGTTATTGTTGAATAGAAATGCCGAATGAGATCATACGATGGCGAATTAATAATAAGAAATAAATAATTAATATGTGCACTCAGANTATTTGATTTTTGTGCATAAATACTTCAAAAATGACGATTGAATCTTGTCAAATGTTGTTCGATTTCCTGAACATAATAATAGGGGTTCATTGTCAAACGTTGTATGATACTGAAGAATAACAATACTTCGTGTATCTGTTATTGTTGAATAGAAATGCCGAATGAGATCATACGATGGCGAATTAATAATAAGAAATAAATAATTAATATGTGCACTCAGATTATTAAGAATCGTTGAATTCAATGTTTGTTGAATGGTTGAATTGAAATAATCGAAAGAAATTAGATAAGTAATATTGACTGTATGTGGATGCTGATAATGAATTATATCTTCAATGTAGATTATTGAAGGTTGAAAAACGTTCGATAGGCAATTGAAAAGATGAGAAATAAATGAAGAATTTGAATAGATTTTCGATGTAATTATTATGATAGAATTTTCTTTTTGAAATGTATCGGTTTGAGAAGAGATAGCATCGCTGTGGAATTGAGAATATTGATTGTTGACTTGTGATACTGAGTTCAAGCTAGGTTCTATTGTTAATTGATTTGTTGCTGAATAGTTCGATTGCGTACAATACGAACAACAATTATTGGGATGAACGTGAGCGTTACATAGAGAATTGGATGGATATTGATAATAAGAATTTAATGAATAATTATACGATACTGGATTATCATTAGCTAAATAGTAAACAAATTATAAAAATAGATAGTAAATAAAAAAAAATCTAATTACTTGTAGCGGTAGAATTCGATGTCGGTATATAATTTTGATTGGTTGTATATGAATAAGACGACGAAGAATTATCTGATTTCATAGAATGAAAACTCCCATTCATATTAGCATAATCCGCTTGATTAATAGCATTTAAGAGTCGATATTTTATCTGTGGATGAGCATCATAGTGAGAAGATAAATGCTTTGACATATAGTCTCGATATTGCCGATAGGGAAGAACGTCAGTCGTCCAGTTCGATTGATTACATCCAAAATATTCAATAAGATAAGACCACATTTGCTCTTGTAAATTAATCTGAGTTGATACTGCATCGATAACATTATTCGATATAAATGTTATTCTTCCCGGCCAATACATACCATCCTGATTACGTCTTGCCCAAGTAATGTCGCCAATATTGAATCCTTTAGAACAAAATAAGATATTTATTTCGTATTATTCAAGAAAACTATAATTATTACCATCAGGAAACGTTGACAATGAGTTAGAAGTCATTTTTATACAATGAACTAGCTACCTAGTAATGAAGTTTGAAATGAAAGGTATGCATATGCTACTTTTTTTCTTCGTCTTTTTATACTTTTCTAGACAATAGAGAAAAGCAAATAGTATATAGTTTTCTTTTCTTGTCTTAAATTAAATAAATGATTTCCAGTACGATAAAAAAGAAATGAGCAGGTGTGTGTCTGTCTGAGACAACTATCGTACTATGTCAATAGACATTTAAATCTAAGATCAATTCCAAGTTACATTGTTTACTTATTCCTTTTTTCCTAGAAAACTGAGAACGATCAAATGAAACTTTAAAATGTATACAATCACTCATTTTTTATTAGATCGGTAATCATTTACTTTTGAACGAGAGCAAATATAGTGAAGGAAATTTATTACGCATGCAATATTAGCCGAGTTTTCTTTTTCGAATTTTATTTATTTGTAAATGATTTCAAAAACAGACGAAGTTACAATTACTATTAACGTCAAAGAAAGCAAAAGAGAGAGAGAGAGAGAGCAATTCGTTTACTATATAGAAGCAGGTTAGTTGTTTGAACGATAAAATGATGTGATGTTGTTTACAAATCTGACACACAAACACAAGCACGAACGATTATTTACTATATTAAAAAAAAATGAGTTACTATTGAAAAAAAAAGAAAGAAGATGAATAATAATAATTATTTTTTTTCATGTAGAATATTTTGTACATAATATTCACATATAGTTGGAGGTATACGTGTTTTAATAGCACGATTTTGAAATAAACCATTCATTACTATTGCTTGCTTGGATTTATTTGTTACTATATCTTCATTTGAATTATGGATTAATTCAAGTAAATTATTATTATTATTATTATTATTATTGGTTGGTTTACTAGTTGAAACCCGAGGAAATAATTCATTAATAACAGATTGATTATTGTTGAGAAAATCTGATTCAAATTCTCCATTTAATGTTTCTTGAAATTTTTCATTGATAAAATTATTAAGAATATTTGTCGATTGAATTATTGATGATATACAATAAGCCGAAAATAATTGTTCATTTTCATTTTCACTTGATTCTATATATTTGATTTTTGTGCATAAATACTTCAAAAATGACGATTGAATCTTGTCAAATGTTGTTCGATTTCCTGAACATAATAATAGGGGTTCATTGTCAAACGTTGTATGATACTGAAGAATAACAATACTTCGTGTATCTGTTATTGTTGAATAGAAATGCCGAATGAGATCATACGATGGCGAATTAATAATAAGAAATAAATAATTAATATGTGCACTCAGATTATTAAGAATCGTTGAATTCAATGTTTGTTGAATGGTTGAATTGAAATAATCGAAAGAAATTAGATAAGTAATATTGACTGTATGTGGATGCTGATAATGAATTATATCTTCAATGTAGATTATTGAAGGTTGAAAAACGTTCGATAGGCAATTGAAAAGATGAGAAATAAATGAAGAATTTGAATAGATTTTCGATGTAATTATTATGATAGAATTTTCTTTTTGATAATTATTTGCTGATGGTATCAATTCAAGTTGACTATCGTTTTCAGAAGATATAGGTGGTGTTATTGATTCAACAAATAAACCTTGTTGTTCATACCAATCATTAGTTGTAGTTAATATTTGAGCAGTGTTACTATTATTTGTTATTAATTTATCTAGCGATTGATTCGTCCAATCCATTGATGGTTGGTAGGATGAATCATAGTATCCTAAATATATATGGCATTCCGATTTAAACATGAATATTTAGTTTATGAACTTTTTTTTATAGACAATTTTAGAAGTCGACTAGAAATGATTTCGTAGGATCAAAGTTATTAAATTTTAAATACAACAGCTAATAAGATTTATCCAGTAATATTTTATGATTCCACCTATATTGATATAACTACTTTAGAAGACAACAACGCCTTGCTGTTTTTGAAGGAGATCTTTTGTCCTTGAGTTTTTTGTTTATAAAATAAAAACATCGATTTCTTGTGTAACATATTTACTCTCAAAATCACATGTGCTGCAAATTATGAAATATGATTCGGATATCTTTTTACTGCATTGTTTTCTTTATCAATCTGAATGTTACGATTACTATTTGCTTTCATATTCTTAGAAAAAGTCGTAATTGTACTTTATTTGACTAGTCGAGTCCTTTTTTATCGCTTGTATAGTGTTTCTGTTTCTATTCTTATCAAAGAGACGACGCATTCGATTCTGAAAATCATTCTAATCTTATGTGTTTTGTAATAGCGTCCTACTTGTGTGAATCATCATGAGAGACAAAAACGTCGCACTTTAACAATGTCAAATGTAGAAGTTTAAAAACAGAACACAAAATATCTCAAAAGATCTAGAAATTCTTTGTATTACCTGTATTTGATGTTATTTCTGGACTTGTCATCAAGAGACTATTGTTATCGGTATTATCTTCAAAGGTAGACAAGAAACTTTGTGACTGGTGTGGCATAGTAGTAGGCCTTGGTGTTATATAATTATTATGCGTATACATTTCATTGCTAATGGCATAATCGGCTTGATAAACAGCATTTAAAAAGTCTTGTTTCATTGCTGGATGAAGACCATAATTAATAAATGAATGATTTGCCATTGATTCACGATATTGACTATATTGTAAAATATCTGTTGTCCAAAATGATTGATTCGTGATAAAAAGTTCGATAAGATAAGTGGATTGTTGTTGAAAATTATCAAACAATTCAGTTGACCATAAATCATTCGTACTATTTGATTTCATTGCAATTTTTGCAGGCCAATAAATATTATCTTTATTCTGTCTAGCCCAAACAATATGGCCTACATTTAGTTCCATGAAGAAAAAAACCGATGACAATATTCTAGAAGTAGAAAATTGTCATTCCAAATTTTATTTCGATGAAAGCAAAATTTTAAAATCTTTTTTTGTCTTAATTTAAACAAACTTTTCTTTTTCACATTGTAAAAAAACACACACACTCGAGTAATTACAATGTCATCAGGAGTAAAACAAAGCATATACTGATAATCAAGAGGATATCATTTTCATAAAAAATGACTGTACAACGCGTATAAAAAATTACCATGATCTCTTATTATCACATAAAGATTTATATATACGTATATATTTATAGTTATGCTTTCTTACATAAAAGAAGAACAATGAAACCTTTAATTGCATCAAAACGAATAAAAATAATACGCAATATCATAATCGGACGCTTATCATTTCTTCTTCCGTGATAAAACAGCAAAAAAACACAATTACCATGATTTACATAGGTTTATCCGATGCATGATCGTTTTTCAAATGCATGAGATAATCGTTGTGCGCAAGAAACGTTTGTTGACAAAATTGGCATGTAACTTTAGTTAGATGATCAGCAGCAACTTTAGCTATACGTCGTTGTCGTTCATCGGCGGATACATTCGATCGCATAGAATTATTTCCACAGGATACACATTCAAATAGAAGACCTTGCTGCATTGGAAATTCATGATATGTTATATCGACTAATTTCCCATGGCCACAACGTGTACATGTTGACTTTGCTGAATTTTGTTTTGGCTTGGGATGAAATCGATGTTTCTGTTTAGAAATTTTCGAACAATGTTTTATAGATTTATTAATAGTTGACTTCAATTGATCATTCGATTTTTTCAATGATTGTTGCATTGGTTGCTGTTTCTGTTTCTGTTGCTGTCTATTGACTGTTACACGAGTCTGATCATTATTTGTTTGTTTGAATGATTCTATCTTAGCGTCCATGACTTTTGATATTGTCGTCTATAAAAATAAAAATAAATAAATAAAAATAGACTAAAGAAGCAATCGTTACGGTTGATATTTTCTTTCATTGAAACTAACAAAATAGAAATCATGTTTATGAATCAACGAACGACTAGATAGACTTTTTATTTTAACCATTGTAAGAGATGTCGCATCTTTCTATCTAAGTAAAAATAGTCTTATTTTGTATTATGTCTATTGAAATACATTGATAGAGTTCAAAGAAGAATCTGCAATTATCCGTTGAATATGGAATCACTAGATGTAGAAATTGAGTTTACACCGAGATAATATATTTTACAATGCTTTTATTTGCCTTAGTCACAAACTACTGTTTTGCTTAGGTTTTATACGTCACAGTATCATTATATGACATACAACTAGGGTGATGGTCTGTAGTAGAAAAATTAATATTTAAAATAAAGTTTCATCTCATATCAAATACATTTATTAGAATGAGATTCCAGGTGTCGATCGTTTATTTTGTTTTTGAAAAATACCAAAAGTATTCTGAAGAAAAATATGAAACGTTTTCGCTAATGAAAAACAAACTATTAATCATCTCAATTATTACTCGTTATAAACTAGATTAATCTCAAAATCACCGTTAAAAATGTTATATTACTCTTAAACATAGAAAAAACATCATGAAACTGATAGATTCAAACGTCGTGCTTGAACTGCTGAAGCGATGGTATTAAGTGGGAAAGTTTCCCTTTATTAAATCAACAACAAAAAAATTTTCTATACCAATCTGAACTTTGTATTTCGCGTTTTGGTGCAAATATTTTACATGTATCTATAATTAAGTTCATTTTTAAAGAAAAGACTATTTTTATATCATAAGTAATTTTCAATGTAGAAATAAAAGATATCCAATACTAAATGGCCGACTGTTTTCTTTCTTTTTCTTTGTGAAACATTCAATAATTGCTTTAGAAGTCGATACGGATCATAGCCATTGAAGAATTTCATTCTCTACGAAATTGTCGACTTGATCTGTCATGCAAATTATTCATATTAACGTCACTTCATAAGAGTAATACTCATTGGATGGTCGTCAAACTGTGACTCTCTATTTTTACAAAACATAGACGATTGTTTACTCAACGTAGAATAAAATTTTCATTGATCAAAAGGTAATTTGAGAACTGTAAATATTTATATTAGCTTGCATCTGATTGGATAGAATTTTATTTCAAATTTGTCTCTTCCAAATATCTGCTCAAAAACATATTTGTTACTGAACTAATGTTACTCATATGAAAACGACTGTTTTGAAAGACAGCCGACAGTTTTGTGCAGAACGAAATATAGTATTTCGTAAGATCAGCATGAAAATTTAAATACGATTATTTAATGTTTCAAAAGTTCAGAGTAAACAAGGATTTATTTAATAGTGGATATCAGTTCGTTTTTATGATCTAAATGTAACATTTCGATCCAGACTATAATAAAACAAAAACAACACTTTATTGAAATCATGTACAAATACAATTTTGTTTGAAATTTTAAAAAATAAAATAATAACTAAACTTGATAGATTTTGTTTTGTCAAAGAAAAGCATTGCTAAATAGCTGAAATAACTGTGTTATTATAATCATTAAGATTGTACGTCACGTAACGCTCTTACTTGCGATTGAGAGTTTGAATTCAAGCGATCATCACCTAGTGAATAATTTTTTTCAGGACTGTTCAATGTTTGTTTTGCTAGGATTACTTGATTTTCTTCCGCATCAGGTGAAACAGATGGAAAAAAGTTTTCATAGATGTCATCGCGATTTAAGACAGATTGTTCTAATGTATTTGATGATCTGTCTATTGATGTTGGAGTTAGTATTTCACTAGTAATTGATGTCGATATTGTTATTAATGATGACGATGGTGGTGGTGGCGTCGACGCATTAAAGTTTTCGTTGTCATTGGGCCTCATTAGGAATTCAACTATATCAGCTAATTCATGAGTTTTTGCAAACGTTGCACTTTGATGTTGTTGTTCATCACCAGGAAAAATAAAATCAGGTGGCGTAGTATCATGATTTGTGTTTAATGATCGCCAGGAATTGTTTGCTAAATTCTGTTGTGAAATTTGAGCAGATGCAACCATTGCGGTTGTCGTCTTAGCTGCTAGATATTCATTTGGTGATGATGATGACGATGCGGATGAGTTCAGCGGGCATGAAATTAATGTATTGACTAAATTTGATTGTGGCGTTATTGGTGATGTCGTTGTTCCGCGAGATATATCAAGAGGAGATGACGATGCAGCCGTTGCTATTGATTGTGGTGCACTTACATTAGTTATACTCATACGTTTTGAGTTTTTAATGGTTGTTGGCGATGGTCGATCTCTCTTGAGGATGTTATTTGTTGATTTTTCTTGTGGGGATAATGTATGCAAAGTAGTTTGTCCTGAATCAGGCGAAGAATTCAATGGTGATGTTTTACTATGAACATTTGGAACATTTAATGTCGATGTATTTGAATCATGAGTTCGTTGTTCTAGTTCTTGTTCATTCGACGTCGGTAAATATTTTGTTGTTGTTGTCACCGGTATATTATGTTCCCAAACGAGTTGAGATAATAATGGTTGTTTCTTTGTTTGTGGTTTTAAACCAGATGATTTTGATTTTCTACACAGTGTGATATGGCCTTTACCTTTGATAACATCAGATATAGTCATATCGATTTCTGGTGAGCCGATTTCTGTTTTCATGAAGTTGTCCGACATAATAATATCAAGCTCTACGGGTGATCGTACTGATTTCTTAGATGTATATAGTTCATCTTGTAGTTGAATAGTCGTGTTTCTATTGTCACTTGAATCATTTGAAGTACTATCTGATGATGAATTTGTAGTAGTCTATAAGAACACACATCTGTTATACGTGAAAAAAAAAGGATTAAGGTCTAAACCTTTGCAAACAAGTCTTGAATGCGTAGCAACTCATCTTCCATAGAGATTATAACTTTAATCATTTTTTGATTTACTTTACTTCCTATTCATATAATCAATAGGAAACTAATTAGAAGTACTCGTTTCAATTTCATGGAACGCCACTTATAAATTTCTCATGTTAACAAATTTTTTATTATCGCTTAGGTTGCACTCATACAAAAAAATAAAATCAAGCCTGTGCTTCTATGAGATCTTTAAACTCAATTTTTTTATAAAGATTTCCACCAAACTTTGTAACCAAAGACTTAATCAATCGTTGTAAAGAATTGAATTACGTGTGAATTATCTGGAAAAATAAATATTTCCGGTTGCTGTAGAGGAGAACATGATGTAACTTTATGATTATTATTATTATTATTTTGTTGTGTTGTTAGTGAGTTTAAATTATTCATAGTAGGTGACGATTGATACACATTATCTAAAACAGTTGTTTTTTAGATACAAATATATATTTGATGAAAATCTTCTGTCATACTTTGATTTTGATATGATAATTGGTCGTGATTTGATAAACTATTATGTCTCGACGGGTGTCGCTGTTGTTGATGTGGACTGATGGAATTAGTATTCTGTTGTTCTTCAATGAACGCAGGCATTGGTGAAGTCGTTTGATGACTAAATAGAAGAAAAATAAAATAATTCATATTACCTATAAAATGTTTTTTTTTTGTTTCCAAAAACGAAAATTACTTCGAAGAATTGTTAGTCATAACTGGTGAAAAGTTTGATGCTTGTTGTCGAAAATTAGGATTTGCAGTCAATACAGAGGTATTTATTGCTTTTGATGGTACTTGTTGCGAAATAATAGCTGTTAAATTCGATGACGAACCAGGTGTTTTCGTCAAATCTGAACTGGGAAACGGTAATAATCTTGCTGTTTTTATTGGGTCCGTTATAGAGAACATTGCTATAGTATCATTCGAACGTACTTGCGAAGAAAAAGCAGTGTGATGAGAAACCATTGGATCATTTAATGGTCGATATATAGTTTCACCTGCTAGAATCGTATTTTCTGATGGGTCATGTAACTCACGAACCTGACAATTATCGTCATGACAGTGTGGAGGATTCGAACAATGACAAATAATAAGCTTTTTTGATGAAGATGCTAATGTTGATGTTGGACTAGGTGTAGACAGTGTTTTTAATACATCAACTGGCGTTGTTAGAGTAGGCATTGGTCTTATTGTTGGCACTGGACTATGAAAAACGAAAAGATAAATAAAGATTATTTTAAATAAAAAAAAGCTATTTCTAACTTTATGGAATTACTTAAGCCTTTCAAGTTTAAATAGGAAAATAAAGTTTGATTAACAAAAAGAAGACTTAGAATAGCAAATATTCACGAATAAATAAATACCTTGTTGTTCTCATTTGCATATTCATAGAAGGATCATTCATATTAGACGACGATGGCGTATGAACGACGTGTTGATTAGACGAATACTGTTGATTAGGCGAATACTGTTGATTAGGCGAATACTGTTGATTAGACAAATACTGTTGATTAGACGAATACTGTTGATTAAACGAATACTGTTGATTTGTTGCTGTTGTTGGATATAGAAAATTAGGTAATAATTGAGATTTAGGCATATTTCCGGTGGATTGGACTGTTGTAGGAGCAGTCAAATTTTGTACTTGTGGTTGTAAAGTATTGAATAATTCAGTTGTTGTAGTTGTTAAAATCTTATTAAAATCAATGGTAGGTACGGTTGCTATTGGATTTGTTGAACTATGAAAATTGATGCCTGGTGAATGATGTTGTTGTTGATGACGATGATAGAATTGTGATTGATGCGTTGTAGGAAAATTTTCTTGTCGTTTCTGTTCTGGAACAGAACGATTCACAATATTTGTACACATAGATGGCATTGAGGGATTTTGTTCAACACAAGATGTTGTTGGGACTAAATATTAGAAATGAAATAAAATTTATAAATCAAGAAAGTATAAATAGAATTTGGATTTTTACTTTTATTGACAATGTGCATTACAAGATTGGGATCATCGCCACCTTTATCAGGCCATTCAACACTTAATTGTATAGTAACTAGGCTATGTTCAATAACTGAATTTTGACAAGATTTGAATGGAATTTTACAAGATTGAACTGGTTCTCTAAATATAATTATTCAATGATAAGAAATTCATGAACTCTACGAAATATAATAGAAAAAAATAAGCATTTACCGACTAATCATTGTCGACGACTTGGAAATGATTGATCGAAAACTAGCATCAAGCAGTTACCGGTGAGTAAAATATAAGATACCTATATAAACATTTCTATTATTTCAGTGATGCATTGTTATTAATAAAACTCGTAAACAAGTTTATTCTTTATTTTTATTTTTCTTTCCCTCTTCTTTTTTTTGTGGCTCGCCCACTTCACCTGTGGCAGGAAAAAGAGCGCGTTACGTTTCATCACAAGTTTATTTTACCTGGTTTTTTTTCCCGTGCTTAGCTGTGTCTCGTCGCTACCAAGTGAAGAAAAGTTGCATTTATATATATAATCTATAAAATAGAAAAGGCGAGACTGGAATTTACATATCAAGATTATAAAAGAGTCATAAAGTCAAATGAGAGAGTTATAGATTTAAGAGAAATTTAATATTTTTGTTTTTTCCCCTTTTGAAAACATATTAGTAATTATTCGTACATAGTGCAGATAATGATTTATGCACGGTTAATAAAATGATCTGTATTAAGAAAACCGAAATAACAAGAAATTCATGAAATTGAAAATTTAATATTCTGCATAAGGATCAAAATCTTGCCGTTGTTGAACAGCAATATTAAGAGGAGGCAATGTTGATGTGCAAAGATTAGCTAGAGTTGTTAATTTTTCTGCATTCGGATGACGTAATTGTGCCTATTGACAAAGCAAAAGCAAACAACAAAAAGAAATTAAATTAGATGGAAAAATGAAACTATATTAAATAAACGAACGGTTAATTTCAGCCTCTTCATATTAGTATCGAATTCTGACATAATATCAACGTTAACTGTATCAAATGGTTTTAAAACTTGTTTTGTTGTTTGCGGTGGTTCATTCTGTTTCCAATAAATTGTTAATTCACCTGCTTGTTCGCTTGATATCTTTTTGTAACTTGTACGTGGATGATCCAAAGGTAAATTCTATGAAAACGAAAACAAAAAAACAGTTGATTGGTTTTTCGAAAAACAAACAAAATTGTAATTAACGTACATTGATTCCAACACGTAATGCTACACCAATACGAAATAGATAGACATCAAGACTTTCATCTTTAACGCCAGTAATAACTGCTTCATCTGATATTGTACCATATTCCTGGGAAAATAAATAGCATATTCATTACAAATTGTTTAAGGTTTTAATGAGTTTTCATAGAATTTTAATAAGAGAAGACATCGAGATGAACACCAACTGTCTTAAAAAACAGTCGAAGCATACATAGAAATACATCAGTATCGGTTGAGTTAATATTTGTCAAGTTCTTATTTACTCAGGCACGCAAATTAAAGTATCAAATACTTGGAATGCGAATACATTGTCTGAAACATTGCAAAAGCGAAATTTATTCCCAGCTTCTCTTTTTGTGATTTTATTTTCTTCGAATTTAATCAAGAGCCATATTATGTATTTACATCAAATTCATACATTAAATACTTATTATTACCAAATCAATGACTATTAGTGTATATATTTTGATACGATTACAACATCATTTCTCTATACAATCTTTTCACGTGGTAAATTAATCTTATACTATTATTATTTAAATGTATAAATATGAATGCATGACGTGTACTTCGTTTCGCATGAATCTTCATATTGATCTAAGAAGACTACACTGTAAAAAAAAAAGAGTTTATGAAAGTGCAATGTGACACATACCAGTTTTTCCATTTTTAAAATATCTGAAACCCTTTTTCCAAATCATAAACCTAAACACCGTTTATTATCTTTGCCATATACGGGAAAAAAGGGCTTATGATACGCTGCACTTCATAAACCCTTTTTTTTGTTAAATACCATATCAAAAACGTTTTGTACCGTTTATTATTCTGCGGATTTTTTTTTACAGTGTAGACATCAAAATAAAGATTCTGTGAAAAAACACGTACTGCCTTGTTGCTTCGAAACTTATGCACGAATACAAAATGCCCCTCACTTTTAATCTCATTGTGTGATGTTAGAGGAAAGAAAAAAGTTCTTTTAAGTAATGGATTTTTACTGCTATTCCCAATCTGGCAATAAAAAACAAAAATATATTATGAAAGCACAGCATATGGTTTGAAGCATGATTCTTCTCTGAATCAATTGTAACTCATTTCAACAAATGGCGAATTTTTAATTGAAAACTAGATCAATATATGAAAGACATTTTTTTTTCGAGGCTATTTGTATAGTTGAAAATGAAGAAAGGAATAAAAAAAAGTGCTTTTAGAAACTTCTTTTGAGTGCTGCCGCATGGTGTAATTTCATTCTATTATGTTTCGTCTTCAACTAAATACTAACTGTGACTCTGGACAGTAGACTAACTGAAAGTTATTTTCTCGCGCTCAATTGCTTGAATAAGTCATGATAAAATATCAAAAAAAAGAGTAAGCTATGTCACAAACGTAGAATAGTATACTATTGGAGAGTAATCAAAGGTTTAAATTCCCACTCTGATTTATTCTACATAATAAAAACATAGTACAGAGATTCATGCATATAATTATTTAGATGTATGTCGATAACAACGTACTCACTAAATTATTGTACTCGTTCAAATAATGAGCAGTCACGGATGTTAGTACAGAAAAAAAACGAAATATCTAGGTCAAAAATATGATTAATAGTTTTGATTGAAAGCTACCCTTTATATCTCACAGTAGATGTAGCTATTCTGGTTAGTAAAAGGGTAGAGTACTCAGAAAAAAAAATAACATAATACATACTCGAATAAGCACAGCTAGATAAAGTTCGGCACTACGTTCTGAACATGTTTTAGCATTCATCTTTTTTTCATTACATAATTGTGCTATTTGTTCAAGTGCTCCTGGTGTTTGGTAGAGATTATCATTATAATCTAGAAGAGAAAAAATTCTGTGGAAAAAATTCGTTATCTATCTTTTCAATTTACCAAGAACAGCACCAAGTAATCGATGAACAAGTATATCGGGATATCGTCGAATTGGCGATGTAAAATGAGTATAAAAATTTACATTTAATGCGTAATGCGAATAATTATTATCTGGCACACATGATGTACAACAATAAATAGCTAATTGCATTGATTTTGCTAATAAATGTATAAGCAATTTTTTTGCTGGTTCATCTTGAGCACTTTTAACAGCTTGCGAAATATCATTCGATGATTGCCCATCGAGTTTAATGCCAGATGATGCTAACATTTTTATTGTATTTTGTAATGTTGTCGCATTTGGAGCTGGATGACGACGTAGTATAACTTTATCGTGAATACGATCGGTTGAACACAATTTACGTGCAACTTGCATATTCGCTAAGAGCATATATTCTTCAACTAGTCGATTACTTTCTTTTTGTTGATAGATTGAAAAGCTCATTGGCATTTTGCTATCAGTCTTTATTTGATATTGAAGTTTTGGTTGATTTAATGTTAATGCACCAACACGTTTTGAACGTAAAATTTTCGATATCCCATATAATTCTAATACAGTTCGTGTTATGTCGTTGACAGAGAAATTATTTGAGATCGCTGGAAAATCTCCCGCTTTAAAATCTTTATTTGGATTTTCAATAATATCCTATTTGATTAGAATAACAAAACATGATATTTGCTTAAGCATTCCGAATTGTTTATTTTTACCTGAGCATGTTCATAGCTTAGTTTAACACACGATCGAATAATACTACGTGAAAATTGTTCATCGAGTATCTAAAAGCGAGAATTAAAAAAAAATAAAATAAAGAAGATTTTCTCTCTTACTTCGCCTTCTTCATTCATTGTCCATATCACAGAATAGGTTAGACGATCCTCGTTAGGATTTAAACTACACAGTCGATCACATAATAATCGTGGTAACATTGGAATAACCTAAGGAAAATATTCATCAATCGCTTTTATGAAATAATTGTGTCTTACTCGTTCGACGAGATAAACACTTGTAGTACGTTGAGCTGCTTCATTATCAAGCGGTGTTTGTTCTTGAACAAAATAGCTGACATCAGCAATATGAACACCGATTCGATAATGTCCTATGAGAAAAATATTTCTATCGTTAAATTAAATTAATGCAGAACAGCGATGTTCATCGTAACAAGTCTTCTAAAGTTCACTAAAACAACTGTTATAGGTCAACTACTTGAAATTTCTACGACATGCTATAGTTTCCATTGATAAGAAAGAAGAAGCGAAAAGTAAAACTCTATTAGAAAACCTTAAGCTCTCCATCTACCTTTCATATGCATGCTTAACTGACTCATTCTCATAATAAGATCAACATGAAAGCATTTGTGTTTTTTTAAGAACGAAATATTTTATGTCAACTATTGGCAGTCGTATTATTAAAAGTATACTGCGATGCCCTAACAACAATCATTTACTTAAAGAGGAGAATATTTCATTTTCTGCATCATGGAATATTACCGACAACAAAAATAACGTGTTATTTACAATGCAGGTTTTTTCTAAAACATCACAATTCATTAACAAAAACCATACTACGGCAGGCGAGAGAGAGAGAGAGAGAAAAAAAAGTTTTTCATTCTTTGAATGCAGCATAATTTTCAAGTAGATGATGAAAAAAAATTCATCGAGCTTTTTCGCGGAAAAAGAACAGTTGAATACAAAAACAAAACATTTCTTCTATCGATAATTAACGATTAAGCTATTCTCGTATCTTTCGAATTAAGAAAAAAAGCGGTCGCAATTTGGAATCGAATAAAAAATGAGATCAACGTAAAATTATTCATTTCGAATTGCGACCGCTTTTTTCTTAATTGATTTTATTTTCGGTCGCTATTCGTACATAGTCGTTATTCTCATATGCATTAATCTTTGATTCGACTATGAAAGTTGATGGATCATTGTGGAGGGATTAAATAAGCATCACCGTGTGTGTGCTCTTGTTTGTCTACAGTCATGCTGTGGTAGCAGCACCAGACTTTCGACTGCAATTGGATTTCTCTAATTAAAAGATATACGTACCATTTTCAAGGCGTTCACAGCTGAGCGCATCATCAAGATCTCGTGCCGTCGCTGGATCAATTGTAAAAATGCATTGATTTCGAAGATCTAATCGTTTAGAAAATTCCTCGTTAGGAATACTCCATTTATCTTGATCCAACGGCAAACATTTAATAACCTAACAGAAAAAAAACAAAGTATTCAAAAAACATCTTAAGAAATTATTGTTTTTTTTACTTCATTACTAAATTCTTCATCTCGAATATCATTTTCCATGAGAATAGCTTTACTCTGAGCTTCGAGGGTATCAGCATCTCCGAGAGTTTCCAATAATTCTCTTAAGAAAAACAAAATCAATTATATATAATAACAATAGCTATTCGAATTTTCTATTTATTATATACCCGCTTGCAAATTTTTTATCAGCTGGTATGTCAACGATTCTTGCAACAAATAATGATTTCTCATAATCACTTGGACGATCTCTAAAGTCTAAATAAATGTAAATATTAGTTATCGTATGAAAAAATGATATATATGTTATGCTCTTTATTTACCCGGTGGACAGTTATTCATTGGAATCATCAGACGAGGAATACGACTAAATAAAAAAAAAGTACATATGGAACAAATCGGATCGATGGGAAATCTATAAGACAAAGTTTTTTTTCGATTGATTGTCCATACTAGCAATGCTTTTCTCATTTATTTCATGCACATTAAGAATGCTTTAGATACTGATGTATTGTGTTGTTTTTCTAGAGATTCTGAATGTTTCTTATGGAAAATAAGGATGATGATTTCTATCGCAATTTTACCTATCCATCGGAGAGAATAAAGCATAATTCGGATTATTATCCGGCATTTTTCGAAGTAATCCAGCAGCTTTCATTGAATGTCTTCTTCGAAAAAGAAAGACAATTTTAACTGTTCGTTGAAAATATTCCGTTGGTATTTGTTCAATGATCGCATCAGTTAATGTTATATTGTCGTGATTGAGAGTATTTATTGTTGCTCGTTTATTGTCACGTTTTGTTGGAGAATTTTGTGGCTGATTATCATTCATAGACTTTGCTTGTGCATCATTGGCTGGTATATTACCATTTCTTGCAGCACGAATATGATTTTCAACCTTAATTTAACAAAAAAAATGAAGTAATTTATTAATTTAAATTAATTAATAGATTTACCAGAGCAGAATATTCGGGAATAACTTTCCATTCTCGTTTAGGTTTTATTTCAGCAGCTACTTCATCTAAATTTAATGCTCGATTACGTTCGCGAACATTATCTATATAAAAATCAGGGCCGTCCTCCTGATCCAAAATGAAAATCAAACTATTTTATTCACCTAGTAGTTAGCTAGATCGATTAATTTACCGGATCACTAATAAATGCATCAGTGTATTGTTTAGCATTAATTCGTAAAATTCCACGAATAGTCTTTTTTGCTGCAATATCTTTTAGCACTTGTTCTTCACTTAAATATTGATCACATGACTAGAAGTAACATTAAAAGATATTACGGAATAAGAACGATAAAATTATTTACCACCGCTGGATTACTCGAGGGTTGTTTACGTTGAGGATTGTTTAATCGGGAGTATTGATTATCAGCACGTGGCTGAGCATTATTATAGTTATGATAACTATGTGTATTGTTGTTTTGAGTTTGCATGGGATAATAGTTCTCATAATTTCCCCATGCGCGTGTATCAAATCCGCCATCTTGTGGACCAGGTATATACGTTTCAGGATGATTTTGATGAAGCGTGCCTATTAATTATATAAAACATTATGCTAATTTACAATCATTTGACGCCTATAAAAACGTCGATTCGTCTGGTGTCATAAAAATCAAATTACGTTTAGAATGCATCAAAATGATATTTATGTACGAGTACGATTCAACTATTTTTATATTCGAATTTCCAATTTTCTACGTAGTAAATCGTAATAAAATATAGTGGTGTAATTAACCTACTTGTTTGCTGTTCTTGATGAGTTGCATTTCTGCCAGTACGTGAGCTTCCTCGATAGTTTTGATTATACTAATGGGAAAGAAAAAAAAACAGAAATTCCTAAAAAAGTCTTATTCAAATATTAGTACAGACATTAAATCTTCGCGGATTTGACATGTTGAAACAACTAGATATTTTCTAAAAATAAATACAAGAAGACATGTTAAAATAGAATACGAGTATCATGAATTTTATATTTGAAATAAAATGACATAAAAATATTTTATCTTATGAAATCTTCCTTAATAACTAGGAAGAAAAAAAAATAGTAGGCATTTTTCTATTTTCGGAGAAAAAGTTATCGCTACTGGTCGCAAGTTGCACTCCATCGATAGTGGCGCATCTCATACATCAAGTTGTTGTTGTTGTCCGATGTATACCAATTAGCAATGAAACGTTGAGTAAGAAATCAGCCAAAATGGACTGTGTGCTTTTTTTGACTCGCGACTATATCATTGTTAAGATAAAAGAAAACAAATATTTACTCAGTTAATTTCAATGATGGCTACTTCATATCATACGCAAAAATATTGATTGATTTCCATAACACATTATAGCTTTACAATCACCAACTGATTTTCGTTACGTTTCATCGCATCGATCAGAACAAACAGATTGTAAATTTACGAAACCATAACATTTATTATAATCATATTGACAGAAAAGTATTTTGCTTTTATTACATTTATTTAAGATGTCTGAAAATTTAATTGCTTTGCTTACTGGTTACACTGGAGAAAGTGGAAAAGCACTATTGAAAGAATTAGTAAACAGCAATAAATTCAAAAAGATTATTTTGGTTGGTCGTCGTCATGTTGATTATACTGATAATGAATATATAAACAAAACGGTATTTAGTCAAATTTTTGAAACATCACATAAAAAAATTGTATCGCAGCCGAGTTGTAACTGACAGGTGGCCCATAAAAAGTTGCCCTGTTAGTATTTTTGAATTTTCTCGTCTTCCTTGAATACGATTGGAGTGTCTTTTTTACCAAACGATTCCTCGCTCAATTCTCTACCAAAAAATGTATTGGCTGTTTTACTTCAAAATCCAAAGATACAAAATGCGATAGGTAATTGTGCGCAGTACCAGAACGTGAAAAAAAATAAACGTGGATAAACTGAACAGCATATTTTTTGGGCATTATCCGGTCAAAGTTTGTAAGAAAGAAAAGTTATAGTAGCCATCGTGTACGCCTTAAAAAGCTCTATGGTTTGCCAATGATTAAAAAACATTTGCACTTAGAATTAAGGACGTAGGAATTTTATTATTTTTTGCCAATTTTTCAAAAAACGACGATTTTTTCATCAATAATGGAAGCCTCCCAATCAAACAAATGAAGCTTAGTCAAAGTGAATTCATTCGAGCCTATTTTTTAATTTATATGGAAAACAAATGTCCCACCGTTATTTTTGGATATCTGAGGTTTGAAAAAAACACTATTTTGTTCAGTCACGCAAAAACAGACATAAATTGTTGTTATTTTTCACTTGATTGTAGTGAAACTAATGTTTGTGACAGATATTTAGATTAAAATGACTTTTGCTCTACATGACGAGATAGAGCGCATTTGAAACTGCATACAATATACTGAAACCGTCTTTTGATGCTTTTGAAAGGACTCAAAAAAATATAGATCGATGTGAGAAAATATCTGAAAAATAAAATTATTCTTTTTCACGTTCTGGTACTTCTCACAATTACCTATCGCATTTTGTATCTTTGGATTTTGAAGTAAAACAGGCAATACATTTTTTGGTAGAGAATTGAGCGAGGAATCGTTTGGTAAAAAAGACACTCCAATCGTGTTCAAGGAAGACGAGAAAATTCAAAAATACTAACAGAGAAATTTTTTATGAGCCACCCGTTAGCTATCTATTAATTTTATCTACCTTGAAGTAAGGTACCCGCAATTCAAAATTACAGTAAAGCGTTTCTTCCGCAATATTTATACATGGTTAGATAGAGTATAACGTTTGATCTCGGAAAAAATGGTTTTTGAAATTTTAGAAATAAAATTATGAAGAAAAATATTTTTTACGATGAAATTTTTGAAAACAACTGTTTTTACTGTTTTCATACGCCAAATCGTCTTTTGAGAGTTTTTTCATTGCTACTAACTTCTGACGTTACTTTTTTCTAATTCAACACATTAATTTATCGTCCAAAGATTATATTTGACGAGACTCAACTATAACGGGATCAATATTCTTTTTTAACAAAAGATACCTGCAATGAGATACCGATTGATATCCTTCAAAAGCAATCAAAGTTTTTAGGAATGAAACTTTAGGCACTCTTCTTATTTCATTATGGCGGCTACATGTTCTAGTAAAAAGGATAAGTAGCCTTTTTTTTACTTAATCGTTCTTTCGTTGAGAAAGTCAGTTTTTACGACGAGATTGACAATATACCGATCAATGTCCCAGTATTTAGTGATTTTCAATATCAAGAGTTCGAATTTCAGCAATTTGAATATAGTATGTATTTCGAGGTCATTTTGTGCGCTGATTCTGCATATTATGTTCAGATTGCTGAAATGCGAACTCTTGATATGGAAAATCACTAAATACTGGGACATTGATCAGTATATTGTCAATCTCGTCGTAAAAACTGACTTTCTCAATGAAAGAATAATTAAGAAAAAAAAGGCTACTTATCTTTCCTCTAGAGCCTGTAACCGTCATAATGAAATAAGAAGAGTGCCTAAATCTTCATTCCTAAAAACTTTGATTGCTTTTGAGGGATATCGATAGGTATGTCGTAGGGACCACTAGGGTCGAAAGTAAAATTATGATCCTGTTATATTTGATTTGTGTTAGCCATGCATTTTGATAAACAGATTATTATGTTGAATTAGATAAAAGCATCATCAGGTGTGTAAGGGCAAGATTGTTTATCGTGATATCGACCTGTTTTATTTCAATCATCGTTCTCCTTCTATAATTACGCTTTTTTTTTTCGGGGCGCGTCACTCAACCGGAGAGAACGAGAGAATACACATGATAAGGAGGAAGAGATATGTGTTTAAATACATAATAGATAGGAATGGATGGAAAAAGGAAGAAAGGAAACATGTCGAAAGGGAAAAATATCGAAAATAAAAATGTCGAAAACAAAAATATGAGGTGAAAATGACCATGCAAGATTGAATTGAGGTTGAGGGAGACTTGTACTTCAAAATACTCTCGTTTTCAGCATTTCTATCCATCTACATTCGTATTAATTTTGTTTTCGATATTTTTATTTTCGACATTTTTCCCTTTCGATATTTTTCCTTTCTTCCTTTTCCCATCATACCATAGATAGTATCATTGTGTATAGAGGAGAAAGTCGTTATGTACATTAGTTAGGATAGAACGAGTGCTTGTATCGGCACAAAAGGTTGATAGGAATGAGAAAAAAATTACTGCCAGTTCACTATTTTAAAACACTAAAAATAGCTACACTCTAAACAAAAAAGGTAATTTTACCGAATCCTCCAAAAAGGTTTCGCAGGAGAGGGTTCGAACCGTGTGCCCGCGATCAGATTCGTTTAGGATTTCGTAGACATTAACAATCGGTTGTTCAAGTCTTTGAACGCATTTGGAAGCTTTTAGACACCTACGAAACCTTTTTGGAGGGTTCGGTAAAATTACCCTTTTTGTTTAGAGTGTATTTTCGAAAATATGATCGTCAAAACCTTTTTTCTTTCAAAATTCGTTACCAAAAATTTCAAAACCAGTTTTTTCTTAGGTAAACCGTTATGTTCTATCCAATCATGTATAAATATTACTGAAAAAAAATAGTTAACTGTAATTTTGAATTGTGGACACCTTACCAAAACGCAATAGATGTGTTTGATGCACAGATTGTCTATTAAATAAATCTGTCTTTTTTAGTTTTTAATTATTTATGTATGTTTAGAAGTAAACAGGGAGAAAGCCCACGCATAGATTTGCCAGCTTACAGACTGATTGTGTCATATATAATTGAGATATAATATTAATTTTAAAATTTCAGTGAAATTAATGATGTTATATTTAGGAACAACGTCAAATAGATTTTGAGAAAATTGATGATTATCCAGAAGCATTTCATGGTGCTGATATGCACTTTTGTTGTTTAGGCACAACAAGAGGCAAATCTGGAGTAGTATGTATTCTAATATTGAATTATAGTTCTGATCATTATTTTTGTTTTCATCGATTAGGAAGGTTTTCGACGAGTAGATTTTGATTATATAGTTGGAGTAGCTCGACTTGCCAAGCAAGAAGGTTGCAAACATTTTCATCTTCTATCCAGTCTAGGTGCCGATTCACATTCATTGTTCCTTTATAATAAAGTGAAAGTAAGTTTTTCGTTTTGTGAATGTAAATCAAAAATATGTTCATTTCTTCTAGGGTCAGACAGAAACGGCTTTAACTCAAATGTCATTTGAACGATTATCAATTTATCGGCCAGCGTATGTAGATTTGTTGTAATCAGTTTTATTTAAAAAAAATTTCTTTTAGAATGCTAATGGTCGATAGAACTGAACATCGTCCATTGGAAAATTTTGCTCAAACAATAATGCGTAATACTGTACAACGCATAGCACCTGAATGGATGACTACACCTATTGATATTCTTGCACGAGCAATGTATCTTAATTCATTCACTAAAGATCGCCCAAGTATTGAAATTCTTGATAATCATGCTCTTTTTCGGCTTTCGCAACAGCAAACTTTTACCACAAAAGAACAATCGCAAGCTACAGATGAATCTTAAATACTTCATTTTGTTTTTTTTTATAACTATTTTTGGTGTTGTTTGTGATATCAATTTTACTATATATACATATATAAACGAGGATCAATATCTGATAGTAGTTGGGAACTCGAAGCATTTTGTTTTCTAAAATCCATACAAAATTAGTGTTTTGAGATAGATTAAACAGGGGAGAAATCCATGTGCTCACTAAATAGAGTATATGCATATTCTGAGGAGTACGTTTGAGACTATTGTTCATAGAATGTAATCAATAAATATTTCCATAAGATTTTTCAAAGAATGAGCTTCCTACACAAGTTCAATCAGTATTCTTCAACTAGTACTTGTATTATAATGTATATTTATAATATGGAATTTACGAATATGCTTTTCTTCATATGAATAAGATAAGATACTGTATCTATATCATAGTGTCGTGACACGTTTACTAAAAAATATTGTTTTGTTTTTCGATTGTGGCTTTTTAGAACTCTATTTCATAGATCTTATATATCAAGGGGAAAAGCGCGACTTCCGTACCTCACGTACTTCCATGGTACTCCTTTGCACTTTCATGCACTCCCATTCTACTCTCATCGTACTTCGAAGTACAGAAGTCGCATCCCCCCCCCCTACC